TCGGGAGGCGAGAGGGGAAAAGGGGAATGGAAGTCCTTCGTGAGATCTCTGCTCCTGAGTTTCTATGTTGGCCAAGACGGTCAGAGCTGCAGACTGAGGCTCTCATTGACCAATAATCCTTCCTTTCCATTCACCTCTAATATTTGGTCTAATTATCCCCCAACAAATATTTTGCCTTATTTTTTTTCTCAGAGCTGCTTCCCAGAGTACCCAAATGACACAACTTTTCTATAGCAAGGACTTTAGTAGAAATACTAACTGGTAGCATTTGTTTTCACTGACAAGTACATATGTGGTGCTGAGGTCCACTGAGGGAAAAACTATTAGTAACTTTTTAAATTGAACTTTGGATTTTTAAAGTAGTGATTGGACTTAGGAAAGCATGAGCATTTCCATCCATGGGGGTAGGAGATGGATTTGAGATTGGGTTTAAGAAATTTATTCAGAGCTTGAAAGCAGTTTAAAGTATCAGCAACATGTGACAGTAATCATAGAAATCCTCATGGCATCATTTGTTTATAATAATGATACTAATGGCTATCATTTATTGAGAACTTCCTATACAGCAGGAAATGTGCTAAGCATTTTACATACATTATCCCATTTAGTTTCAGAGGGTGATGTCTAAACAATATTAATTGATGAATTAGTTAATTGCTCTAAAGAGTGTCAGCTTAAGCCAGGAAGTACATTAGCACTGGATCCAGAAATTGCTATCCTGGCTATATAATGAATGTATTCATTCAAATGTTAATACATAATGATGGATCATGGGAATAGAAATGTTATGGTGCTTATTTGGTTAGTCCAGTAAAATGCATACCATAGAAGTAATTATGAACTTTCCAACTACATTATATATTTGAAAAATACTTTTTGTTCTATAAGAAATTTTTTTTTCATTGTTCAACTTTCTTTAATGACCCCCGCCTCCCTGAAAGGCAGGTGCATTCAACTAGGTGATAGCAAGAAATGTTCACTTGAAGGTCTTGCCCTGACTGAAGGCTGTGCCTACATGCTGGAAGGCCGCCTCCCAGGAAAAGTATTCTCCAGCCAGCATCTGGGTCTCTTGCTGCTTCCAGTTTCCACCATATCTATGACTTGTAGTTCCTCTGCCTGTCTGGACTCAGTGGAAAAGCAAGCTCTTGGTCTAGGAAGACCCAGACTCCAGAAATGGACCTGCTGTTGTTGGTTCCAAAGAGAAAGACTCTGACAAAGGCATTCTCCCTCGGCTTGTCCAAATACTGGAACATTCCACTGGTGAGGTTGCAACTCAGGAATATCTGGGTGATTTCTTCCAGGAAGTGGTACTTGGAGGCCACAGGGACCAGCCGTCTTTATGAAGGTGCTCCTGGAAGCACAGCAGCGTGGCAGAGAGCATGGCCTCGTTGGAGTATTTGTGCTTGAAATCACCCAACACAAAGGTGCTGTTGGCCTTGGTTATGATACAGTATGATCATATCATATGATCATATGATGAAAAGTTATGATACAGTAAAATTGCTTGGTATATTCCACTTCCACATCACCTGCTCACGTTCGCCCATCTCCTCCTCAGGAGCAGAGCAGTTGCCTTTTTTCTCCTCTTTCTCCTCAGCCTGGGACTCTTCCTTTTCCTCTCTATCCCTGGGGTGTCGTTTCAAGGCTAACTCTCTACAAACTTTATAGCATCAAACTAAAGATGGGCCGTCTCAGTTTCACCTCCTCCAAGAAAGCCCAGACTGGGGCCGGTTAATACAGGTGATAGACCAGCGGTTGGCTTGGTGGAGAGAAGCTCCAGGATCTGTTTATGGGGCCACATAGAGTGCAGACCACTATGATGTCATACAGTGTCACCCATTTGCCCACCAGAAAAGTCTTCCTCTTCAAGTGAGATTCCAGCAGCCCCAAGATTCACCTCACCTCTTCCTTTGCATTCTCTGTGGTCTACTTGTTGTGGTACATGAACCCCAAGTTGACAGAGTCAGTTACTGGCTAGGGGCACTATGTCACTATAGCAAAGCTCACCCACCGCGCCACCTGGGAGCTGCTTCTGGAGAACTTCCCCATAGCTCCTCACATAGTAGACATTGGCATTGCTCTCGAACACACTGAATCCATCAACACCCTCAACTCCTGGAACTTTGTCAACAGGAAATTTATAGAAAAATTCAGGGGTGCTCTTGGTTTGGCCAAATTAAATTGGTGTGGAGCTGAGAGCGCATGGACCTGAACCCCACTGAATTTAGTAGCAAAGAAGGTCTTGAAGGCCCTCCAGTTTCCAGGATTTGTGTACAGCAACCCATTATTCCTCAGAGAAAGAGGGCAGGGTTCTTGGCTCTGTAACAGAGGAGAGAAGGAAAGAAAAAAAACTTTTTTTATTTTTATTTTTTAAACAATTTTAAAAAATATTTTTATTTTTTTTAAAAACATCCTTGTTTGCCTTTTCACAATATAGGATTTCTCCCCACAGGTGCAGTGACCATAATTTATCCACCATTAAATTATGGCTTGAAAAGTTATGGTACAGTAAAATTGCTTGGTATATTCCACTTACATTTGTGTATTTCTTTTAAAATTTGACCCCTTAATTCCCAAATGGTATTTGAAAAGCATCAGTCCCACATAGGGGGTATCATAGGGAGTACCAAGGATGGTAAAATATGTCCTAGGATGCAGTCAATACTATCATCTCCCATAGCAGGAACCCATGGCTCTTTTGAATGGAGTTGGATTTTGTCAAATTTTTTTAAAAGATTTATTTATTTATGCATACAAGAACTGGGGTACAGGCCAGAGGTCTGGGAGGTGAGAGGATTCACCAGAGACAGAATGGGGAACAGAACAGGCAGATTGACTGAAATACGCAGCTGAGGGGAGCAGCAGGGGAGACAAGAAAGGTCTGCTATGCCATGTGGGTAGCTCCCTGGCCAGGGATCAAACTCGTGCTGCAGTGGCTGCAGATAACTTCATAGGTTATGTCTTAACCCCTTGCGCCACCAGGGAGGCCCCAGATTTTGTTAAATGTTTTCTCTGTATTAGCTGATACTAACCTGTAGCTCTTCTTTACCCTGTTTGTATGGTGGGTAACATTGATTGATCTTTTGGTAACCACTTACAAGTATGGACTAAATCTCATTTGGTTACAGTATATACATGTCGGATTCAATTTGTTAATATTTTGAGGGTTTTTGCATCTAAGTTATTAAAAGATATTGGTCTGTATTTGCCCCTTTTTTGTACTGTCTGATTGGTTTTGGTATTAACCTTACAAAATAAGTTGGGGCATGTTTCCTCCTTTTCTGTTTTATGAAAGAGATTGTGTAAAAGTGATGTTAAAAATATTTTAAAAAATATTTGGTAAACTTGGGCCTCCCTAGTGGCGCAAGGGGTTAAGCACCGCACTATGAAACAATCCGAAGCCTCTGAAGCACGAGTTCGATCCCCGGACCGCCAGGGAGCAACCCACATGGTGAAGCAGACCTCTCCTATCTTGCCCGCTGCTCCCCTCAGGAGTGTGTTTTGGTCAATCTGCCTGTTCTGTTCCCCACTCTGTCTCTGGTGAATCCTCTCACACCCCTGCATCTCTGGTCTGTACCCCAGCTCTTGTATGCATAAATAAATAAATCTTTAAAGAAATATATTTGGTAGAATTATCTAGTGAATTCATTTGGACCTGTAGATTCTTTAGGAGGAACATTTACATTACAAATTTGATTTCTTTAATGGTTAAAGGGCTATGCAGATGATCTATTTTATCTAGGTTGGGTTTCATTATTTTGTGATTTTCTTTCTGGCTGTTTTGAAGGGAGAGAGGAAAACATTAATGAGATCACATATAATATGAAAATCTTACCAGTGATTTGAGAAGCTTATAGGATGTAGTTTATACACTGGCTTAAGTATGGATTTGTTAATGATTAATCTAAACCATTGCTAAATCCACTATCAAGGAGTTTGCTGGTTTTTCCTTCTTCCATTGTTTTGTTTTGTTTTTTTAAAGATTTATTTATTTATTTATTTATTTATACAAGCAATGGGCACAGTGAGAAGCGTGGGAGGGTGAGAGAATTCACCAGAGCCAGAGCAGGGAGCAGAGCAGGGAGCAGAGCAGGGAGCAGAGCAGGCAGAGGACAGAAGTACACTGCTGAGGGGAGCAGCAGGCAGCAGGAGAGGTCTGCGCGCGCCATGTGAGACCCTCTTCTGGTGGCTGGGGAGCAGCTGGGGATCGAACCGGAGCTGCAGAGGCTGCAGGCAGCTTCGCAACCCAGCGCTCAACCACTGGGCCACCGGGGAGGCCCTCTTCTTCCATTCTGAATCTCTGCTTTTATTGGCTCTATTTTTAGATTACCAAAAGAAAATCATTCCATTTTTGTGTTACCAATGCCCATGATCCTTACACTATTTGAATTGAAATCAAGTCATGGAGTCTAGAAAATAAAAACCTTCCTCTGCTGATGAAATAATACTTTGACATTTACTCTTTATAGCTATAAAGCTCCAAAAGACAGAAATGAAGCATTTCCTATAGAGGAGATTTAATGTAGGAAGCTGAGTAATAGGTGGTAGAAAACAGAAAGTAAAAAATAGCTTTTGTGATTAATAACTACAATAAAATAATTTCTCAGCCCATCCAGGACTGAAAAATAAACAGGAAGACACAGTGTTACAAAACAAGGAGCACATGGGGGTGGGTCCCCCATGGTGGTGTTTAGCTGATACTGGGAGGGCTGAGAGCCAAGCAGGGGGATGGGGTTGGAATGCCTAAGCAGCCTTTTTGTCAAATGTCACAGCAATGGAGGACATACACTGCAACTGCTTGACTGATTTTGGCTTCCTTTCTAATTAACTACCGCAATACTACAAAGGGACCATAACACGAATAGTCTGTTTCCATGGTTCTTTACCTATGGAGTTCTGTTAAGGAACTATTTGACTTTATTAAGGAAGAACTTTATTACGGTCATAGCCCATCAATCAGGAATAGGATAGGAATCTATCTTTGACTAGAGGAGTTTAGTTCTGACTTTCAACTGGTAAAAGCAGTGGGTAATGTGGGTTAATTTAAGACCTTTACTATAAGTACCCATACTGTGAAAAATTATTCCAAGAACACATTAGATACAATCTTTTAAAATCACATGACAGATTTTTATTTATGTGATGTCAGTTACCTGCAGATGTTTGGATAATAAAAATCTAGGCTAACTCCAACCATACAACTCTACTTCTTACTTCCTCCATTAAAATATACACATTAGAAATCTAGGTTCCAAATACTTCCGCTACTGAAGATAGTGAAATTCAGTGAAAGTCACCTAGCTACAATTTCTGAATGTTTATAGAATGTTCACCCTTGATGATGGAAGAGACTTATTTAAAAGACATAATCATGGAGGGAAGGTGGGGGAAGTGCTGGGGAGGCCCTGGCGGTGGAGCCTCCAGGACCGTAGACAGTGGGTGGCGGAGGAGGAGATGGGGGTCGGGCATTTTTAAAATTTTTAAAATATTTAAAAAATTAAAAAATAAAAAAAATAAAAGACATAATCATATTTTTAAAAGCCTACGTAGACCCAATTTATTTTCAAATAAAGAGTGGATCCATGTTTTCATACACAAAAGATTTTATAAAAGAATATGGTTGACTTGCACTTCAACATTTTCATGTAAAAACACCACACAGTGCAAGAAAGTGATTGCAATGAAGTATGAAGACACCCAAAGTCAGCCAGTATTTGAAGTACAGGACAGAATATTTTTGCAATTCTTTCTTTAAAGTGTTGGCACATACATTAAATGCCCAGGTTATAAAAAAATCACTTATTATTCACTTACCCTTTAGTAAATTTTTATACCTATACCACATCACATTAAGTGCTGGTGAACAAAATAGTGTAAGAATCTAAAAACTTTTTCAGGTAGCACAATGATTTAAAAACAACTAGGAAAAAGCATCCCCCCAAATATTTTTGTATGTAATTCTCTGTCCATTGCCACAACAAAGTAAAAATGCCTTAAAAAGAAAATATTTTCCTAAAGGAAAATAAATATTTCACTTTTCTTTTGAAAACACCATTTCTTCTTAAATAGAGGGAAGAGCTTGAATTTGGGGTTGGGGATAGGAGCATGTTTTATAAGTAGAAACATCAAGTTAATGTCAGTTGTACAAATGTCTCATTTAAGAAAGAAATTGAATACTTTGATTCAAAGGATTCTAAAATATTTCATCATTACAAGAAAAGTATAACTTAACGCTAAAAAACTGCAACACACTGAACTAATAGAAATCATCTATTAGTATATCCTATTGCTTTTTCATAAAATCCGTAATTAAGGAGTGACAGGCTAAGTAAAAGATCTCCTCAACATTTGGTCAGATTAGCTGAGAAGCCCAGGGCAAACCCCACACCCGGAGTTACAGCTCATCACCTCTCACATGAGGGTCCTGGGGGAACTGCCCTTTCACATCCTTCCAATCAACAAATTTATATAGAACTGTTAAGTTTACGTAATCCTTTCAAGAATGAGGTGCTTCAACTCAAAGTATTTTCTAGATAAATAAATCCCCCATTTAAGCAGTAAAGCTGTTCTTTAAACATTTTAAATGTTACTTTAAAATTTATTTTCAATGCATTTCCCTGTCATTTTTAAAGATGAGGTATAGCAATAACTAATAACACAGTCTCCTGACTTCATGGTTCTCCTGGACGTGGCAGCTGACAAGAGGGATTGATCAGCAGATACGACCTGGGCCCTGGCGCCAATTCTGTGCAACTTTGGACAACACTCTGAGTCTCACAACAAGGCTGATTATCACCAGGCTCTTTATGATTCTATAACTCTCTATTTGAAAGCCCAATAGTTAACATATCAAAGTATTTGTAAACCACAAATTGCCATATGAATGCAAAGGATTGTTGTGATAAGCCCAAGATGATATTTGGGTTTAGAAATATCTTGTCAAAATAAATTCTAGATACGTTTTTTTAAAACATACATAGTTGACAAGACTTGTACATTTATGGTTCTGGCCCTTTGGTTATCTGACTATTCTCCTGTCTCCTGCTTCTAATTGCACCAGTCCTGTAATTCAGTTTGTCACTCCTTGAGTTTAAACTTAGGACTTTTCAATAGATGAAAACCGAAACTTCAAACTTTATTATTTTAGCAAATGTGGTATCATCATTTATGCACTTCAAAAGAGTAGTTCCGTAATTAGGTAAGGCATCAGACTTACCTAGAAAGCATTTTAAAAATTGAGATTCTGAACTCCAGCCACAGAGTTCATACTGAATCAATTTGATTCAACATGTCCATAGTAGGACCCAAAAAAACTGTTTCTCAAAAGTTCTCAGGTAATCACAACACTGGATAGTTCAGTTTTGGAGATTCACCGCTTTGTCCTAAATTTCTCTAGAACTTTAGCAGCTGCCAGTTTGTTTTAATATAAAAAAAACTCCCCTTGCGTTAGTCACAAACACATTCAAAGTAGAATCCTTGTGATCATGACTTAGGTCCATAGTAGACTAGTTATTACATTGCAATAGAATTTTAAAATGATAACTTACTTTCACAGCTAAGACAATGCATGCAGATGCTGAGAAGTAGCTGGTTCTACACTTTCTGCTTGACCTGTAGTTGTTGGTCACTTGTACACCTGAAGACCATCTTATTACAGTTGTCCCAACTAAATAAAGGATGACAGAACTCCCCCATAAAACAGAAAGATGGGCTAACGAGCTAACCAGTATTATTAAGAAAATGTTTCTAGCAGACATAAAGGTATTTTTAAAAAAAAACATTACTTCTTGTAGAAACTCAAACACACCCACACTTCTGAAGTCTACCATAAAGAGGAAATCTGATCGAAACCATAGTTGTTTAAAAATATGTTCAACTAGTTGTGAAAATATAAGTACAATCTTATCCTTAAGGAAGCCTAACAGGCATAAACGCTAGTCAAATAGATAACTGAAAATAACACATGAAATATTTTGGTATAGTTCTGAACACTGTCCCTTCCAAATTTAATGCAAAAGCCACATTTGGGCTTTCCGGGTGTCAAGTGTATCTAGGCACTGCGGAACGTAGTCATGTCCTTTGGTTCTCTGCTGGGGACACACCAGTCGTCAGCCTCATGGTTGGTGTTGTAATGCTTCCAGGCGGCTTTGTTGTACACTGGGAGTCTTTCTATGGATTCTGTCGACAGAGCCTGAAAGATAAAAACAGGGCCTAAGTCTGGCTTTTTTTTTTTTTTTAAAGAATCCATTATTTGAGAAAATATACAACAGCAAAAAGGTTACCACATATCAGCAATACTTTACTGAATTTATATTTTACTGATCACACCAGCGACATACATTTTAAAACAGTGCACACATTTGAAATGTGCTGAATAGTCTAAATCTAAGGCACTGCTTGGTGTGCATGTTAAGTTTGCTGCTTGCTTTTCCACTCAGCCTGGAGGTTGCTGAATTGAAACCTTACAAAGATGTGAGGGAGTTGGATCAAAACAGGGGTGGGAAGAGCACAAGGGACTATGGTGACGGTGCACTGGTGAATTGGTGGTGGGAATCCCACGGGGACTACACCTGAGATGATAAAAAAATGAAGAATGATGTAAAAACTATATAATTTAAAAAAAGATACAATTTTAAAAAAAGAAACTTTACATAGATGTAATAGACGCCTTTTATAAAACATGACCCAGAACAAAAGTAGGCTCACTAAAAACATTTGTTAAATATAAAAGCACAAAAATTAACATATATATCTTAATGCTGTAATCACACAATCATTTAATGCAATCTATTTTAGTTATTAGAATACAACATTTTCCCAAAACAATCATTTGTACTTTTAAAAATTCATCAGGGCCTCCCTGATGGCACAAGGGGTTAAGTCCCGTCACTATAGGACTGTCCAAGGCCACTACAGTACTAGTTCAATCCCTACACAGGGAGCAGCAGACCTCTCCTGTCTCGTCCACTGCTCCCATCAGCAGAGTATTTCATTCAGTCAGTCTGCCTGTTTTGCTCCCATTCTGTCTTTGCTGAATCCTCCCACCCCACGCACCTCTGGCCTACATCCCAGCTCTTGTATGCATAAATAAAATAAATCTTAAAAAAAAAAAGATTCATCATAACATTACTATCAATCAGTATAAAACTATTGGTATGTCTAAAGGCATCCTCGTTTTTGCATGAACAATTCTTGTCTGGGTTTAATCCTGTTTCTCTTCCTGCCATTAAAATAACCAATTTCAGATATAGCATATATATTTACTATCTCATGTATAATTTCACTTTCCAAGATATTAGCATTAATTCACTGTTCTAATTCAGCTTCCCATAAATCTCTGGAACCTGAGATAAACTATGTTCCTTGTTATCTCCTTCGAGTTAGTATATTTCAACAGACTTTCAAACTGAAGTGCTAGGCATTTCTCAAGGTATAGAAATATGGAACCAGAAATTTCAGCCCAGTAACACTAAGAAAGCTCTTTGATACTGATTTTAATGATTCTGTAAGATTGCTTGTCTACATTTTCCAAAATGGAACTAAAAACCTTGCACTTACGTATTCTCTTAAACATGCCAAAATTGCCAGAACCCCTTGACCTATAAGGAATAAACAGGCTGGATCAAAAATATTATTTTTGGTGACAAAATACTGCCTTTGTATCACCCTTTTAAAGTTCTAAACAATTTAAATGATTAAAAAAATAATAACTGTTCTCTTGAAAGAATCCAACCTTTACAGTTAAAAACTTTTTCTAATAGTTTTGAGCATTTCCTACAAAATAGGTGCCATCTAGTGGCAGAACAAGACACTAAATAATTAGGTACAAACAGCCCACTGTTCAACCAATCCAATGGGTTCATGGAAACCCAGAGCTTTCCATTCCTATAAAATATACTGATCCCTCCATAACACCATGTACCATCCAGGCCAGTGGACTAAGTACTTCTGCTCCCCCACCAAGTGAGCCTATGCCTACCAGAGGCAGGTGTGCTTTGCAGCTTTAAAGGAAAAATCCCAAATGATAATGTGCTTACTCATGTCTTTGCTTAAAAGAAACCAAAATGACGCAGAGAGTGTCTACAAGAAAGACAAGTGAAACTTCAACCTGCAAACCCATATGAAAGAAAAAGCCTTGGGAGTACATTAGAAGATAGGTGCTTCATGTCAAAATTAAAATTTGTAAAATATGTAACTTTTTATGGTTCCTAACTTTAGCTCAGCTTTTTTCTATTAGCAACCATAGCTCTGATCATTACAGATAAGAGACTTCTTTCCCCCAAATCAAGGAAATCATTTATAAAAATAGATGAGATCTTATGTAAAAAACCATAATGTTCTGATATCTTAATAACATGAGGTAGTTAAATTTCATTAAGTTGAAAATTGGCATCTTTTCTTATAATGAAAAGATCTATTATTAAATCAAGAAGTTATTACCTTAATGTAGATAACGGCATCTGTCCCGTAACCCTCTAGGGAATATAGCTTTAGATCTCCTTGGAAGTATTGCGCATAAAGACGTGATATGGGCAATCCATAACCAAAACCAGCCTGTTTGATGAGAAAAGTGAAATCTATTCAGAAAGCCACATACTGAAATACTTTTCTAGTTGAAGTGCCACTAAGTATTCTATGCCTATCAGAATCTGCATCTAAGAAATCTATTAATTATTACATGTGAATAATGATCAAGCTGAGCTTAGTTGAGTACTATATTGGATGACTCCCCTCTGGTCATTTCAAACTCTGACTTTTCTTTGTTCTATAAAATGACTAGTGGGGGCTGGAAAAAAAGCATGTCACTTTTCTTCATGGACCTGCTCTAGAGGATCCCAGGTACTGCTTTTAGGTACTATATAAAATAGGTTCTCACTTTTAGGAGCAAGAGTAAAATATAGCCTTGTTACAGCAACAGATTTATCTCATGACTTCACACTATAAATTCCCAGCCTGTTCTGAACCTGGAGAGATCCGTAACAGTCTACTTTCTTAATTTTCACTGACAGGTCATTTCCCTGCTTGAAAATCTTCAAAGCACAACCCTCCACCGCGATCCATCGCCTTAGAGATAAAAATCCAGACTTCTGAAAGGAGCTTTCAAGAACGATAAGATCAGGTCTTGCCTCCCACTTTCTAGTTCAGCAGAATCCAACCTCCTGCTTTTAAGTTCCTCAAACATATCATCAGTGTTTCTTATTTCTAGATCATTATTCATCCTGTTTCTAGTATCTGAAAAAGCCTTCTTTATCTGGAAAAATCCTACCATGGAAAAATGGTTTTTCATCACCAAGTCAGAAGAGTTTGATGACATTGCCCATAATACTTTAGTTAAGAGCTTATGTGGATCCAGGAATCAGCATGCTATTACCAATCCAGGCTCCGATTTTACCTGCTTCCACCATTTATTACTTGACTTTTCTAACCATTTTCTGTTTGCCCCTCAAAATAAACTATTCGTTCCCCATACTTCCCCTTAGCCTGGGAGGCTAACCTGAATTGATGTCAGTGTATTCCTGTGCCCTCTGCTTCCAGTGGGTTCAGTCAATGGAAGCCCGAGGAAGATTTCAGAGGGAGTTAAGTCGGGTTTTCATTCCCCTCCTTCTTTTCTATTAAAGTTAGTTCTCTTGAGAGTAAGCAAGTGAAAGTTTTCCTTTTTTCTAGGCCCCACTAATTTTTCCTTTTCTTCATCCACTTGATTCAGTTTGATGACAGGCTTAATGCTGTCCTGGATTCTCACACTATCCCTACCTTTACCTCTATAATTCATCTCTTTGTAAATAAGTCTTCCTTGAACTATCTCGTCCCTTTGGGGACCCCTGACTGATACACTAGTTAGTTCCAGAAATTGTCCCAAAAAAGATGCATAAGCAGGTGGCTCAGTATCCCCTATGCCTAATCTACTTAAACATAGCCTCTCCCTCAGTCACACCCATGGACTCAAGGGCTCACCTATGGAGTCTTTTATAAATACTTAACAGTGAAGAAAAACAGCATGGCCTGGTCCAGTGGTGGGCCTACACAGTTTGCCGGCACCAGACAAAAGATGACTCCCCTCTCAAGGGCAGACATGAAAGATGGAGTAGAAGTAAATCCTACCACCTACACGGTGGTAGGCAAACATGGGCAGTAGCAAACAGGCTGGCTGACTGATTAGGGAGTTATAAAGCATAAAACCGGATAACTGATGAGAAGGAGGTTGCAAGAGAGAAACAGGAAGGGTCCTCAATGAGTGGGCTTCAAGTGTAAAGGTATCTGTCCATGCAGATGCCACCAGAAGGCACCCACGAGGAGGCAGCTCGCAGTGCTCAGAGGACAAGATGACCACGCTCGTGGCGTTAGGCAGTCTTTCTCCATCTGCCCCAACTTTTTGCTTTTTGGGCCACTTACAAACTGGTCATGACATCAGCAAGGACAGTTTGTCAGAGCTTAGTAACAATCTTAAACTCACTAAGCTTGCGTAGGTGTATAGGGAAGACCATGGCATGTCAAGCCTCCTATTTTCTTAAAAATTCCTATAATTTGGCCGGATGGTCTCACTCATAGCAGGAATCTAAAATACTTAAATAAGGGACCAGGAAAAAGAATAACTATAAGAAAGAAAATATCAAAATCAACAAACAACTATGAACCAGAGACACTCTATGGGGGGTGGGGGGCAGGGAAAGGAGGGGTTGGGGTCAAAATAAGGGGGTTGTAATTGTATAGGGAATATAAAAATAAAATTTAAATTAAAAAAAATTCCTATAATTTGGGCCTCCCTGGTGGCTCAAGGGGTTAAAACGCAACCTATGAAGCTATCCACAGCCACTGCAGCACGAGTTCGATCCCCTGCCAGGGAGCTACCCACATGGTGTAGCAGACCTCTCCTGGCTCACCCGCTGCTCCCCTCAGCAGTGTATTTCGGTCATTCTGCCCCATTCTTCCCCACTCTGTCTCTGGTGAAGCCTCTCCCCACCCACACCTCTGGCCTGTACCCTAGTTCTTGTATGCATAAATAAATAAATCTTTTAAAAAATTCCTATAATTCTTGCATCCTAAACCACAAGCACTTATATGGCATTTACTATGTGTCAGGCACTATAAAAAGCATTTTCACACGTATTAACTCAATCTACACAATAACACAATTTTTAAAATTGGGGAAAAGTTGTTATACTGAAGTTGTTATACTGAAAGGTCAATAATTTCCCAAGGCTATAGTTTGGATATAGTGCACTCAGGAATGGAACCAGTCAGTTTGTCCAGAATCTGGACTAATACCTATGTCACTATCCACAAAAGTTCTACAATATCTGTTTTGCTTAAGTGTAGCCTATTCTTTCTCTTCCCCTTACTTTTTAGAATACAATCAGAATCCAAGTGGATGCTCATGGCTATTATTTGGCCCGGTCTGCTCGTTGGCTATGTATCTCTACTTTAAGAACACCATATCTCAACTTGAGAGGCACATTACTAGGACAATTCTTTTAAGCTGGGTAATGGCTGTAACTATAGAACAAGTACATTGTAACAGGTAAAACTATGAGAATGAAGTCCTTCTAGGAACTTCCTAGGAAGAGCCTAAAAGAGATCTATCTTGTAGTGTATCTCATTATGCTACAACATAAGTTTAGGGTACATCCCAGAGAAGTTTCAAAGCTTAGAAGAACAGAGTTCTTCCCATATTACAGTTTGGGGATTTGGCAAAGTGCTTTCTTGGGAGTTAGAAGATCAGGATAGAGTCAATTCAAAAACTAATTTATTAAATTTGAAAATAGAGAACTAAGATCAATTAAAAAATACTTCAAAAAATTATAATTTGAGTCATCTTACTGTTGAAGAAACTGATTAAAACTTGAGTTTTATGTCTGAGTCTAGAACATGAGATCTAACTATAAGTACTGGAGAAAAGTCACTAACGCTTAGGTTTAAATTAGTATTGACTAAATATTAGTAAAACTAGAACTTTAGTTTTCATATTAGAAATAGTACATCAAAATGTGGTCTACCACATGATAACTACTGACACGTTGCTATCAAGTATAGTGATGAGAACTCTAAAACAACACTGTTTTGTGACCTTTCAATTAATAAAAAATCAAAACTGTCCAAGGTTGTTTAAATTTAGAGAAAAGTATTTTCCTTCAATAGCTTCCAATAATGTAACTGATTTATTTGGTAAATTCACCAAACCATACTTCATCATTTCTTGATGACATACCAAGGGTGCTGCTCGGGACGTTTCAACGCGAGGCCGTGGTGCAGTCGAGTACATGTAGTTGAAGAGTCGGTCGATTTTCCTCAAAGGAACACCACCTCCTCTGTCACTCATCTAAGATGAGAAGGATCAGGTTGAATGACCAAGTCCCATAAATAGCTAAATAGCAACACACATTCACAGTGACACAGTTTAACTGTTGGCTGGAAATTGCTGCTTTTCAAAATGAGTACCACACATCCATGTTGTGAATGTAAACATTTCCCTTACTAGTGGACCTAACACAACATCTCTAGTAGGTGGAATTCTAATACACAATAAACTCCATCACAATACAAATTCAATGCTTAGCTTAGTCTATTTGCCGAAGTTGCACTTACAGTACTGCATAGCGTGAAGTGGAGCATAAGCTAAACCTATCTTGAGTGTTGTCCCTTTCTGGTGGAGTTTGTTGGCAATCAGATTAAAAATGCAACATGCAACAACAAGGATGGAACTGGAGGTATTATGCTAAGTGAAATACATCAAAAGGAGAAAGACAAATACCGAGTAATTTCACCTCCATGCAGAATATAACAAAACATAACAGATGAAACTAGACCAAAACAAATCCAAATTCTGACTACAGAATTGGAGCTACCAGAGGGGGAATGCTGTGGGTAGTGACCAAAGTGGGGCCCAGTGGGCTATGATAGAGGATTATGGGTCCTTAGGTGGTGGGTGTGGTGTGGAAATATGTATCTGCAAATATATACTTTCCTTTAAATCATATACAGTATTATAAATCACTGTTACCTCAATTAAAAAAAAACACAATTTTTAAAAATATGTGCATCATCCTTTGATAATGTTTATCCTAATTGTCATAAAAATATGCAGTTTGGGAATATCCACCAAATGTGAATAATTAAAACTAGATTACAACCTAAATAAGGGACTCAAGTAAATCGATGTATATTCTAAAATATAATTTATTCATTAAATATTATGCAGTATGTCATGTATTGGCATGAAAGATGACCACAAAATATTGCTATTTAGCAAAAAATGATGAAGAAACATTTGGAATATTCTAATTGTGTAAGAATTATATAAGTGTATGATGATTTATAATATCATTGTCTATGGAATTATGAGTAATAACTTGGATTTTTAGTTTTTGAATTTCTTTTACTACTTTAAATTACTTTTATTAACGAAAGAAAAAGGGGGCTTCTCTGGTGGCACAGGGTTAAAATCTCAGTGCTATCAAGCTATCACCAGCCACTGCAGCATGAATTTGATCCCTGGCCAGTGAGTCAAACCTCTCCTGTCTCGCACACGGCTCCCCTCAGCAGTGTATTTCAGTAGATTTGCCTGTTCTCACTCTGTCTCTGGTGAGTCCTCTCACCCACACCTCTGGCCTACACCCCAGTTCTTGTAAGCATAAATAAATCAAAATAAATCTTTTTTAAAAAAGGAAACAGTATAATTTTCATTTTCAGAGAGGAAGAAGCAGAACCACTTCACCACTTTAAATCATCTCAAACTCATCATGTTTGAGAGTCTTATCTATAAACAAATGCACAGTAAACACTTCCAGACAACTTTCCAATGTGCTTATACACACTTCATGTTGTTCTTATATCACTTTCCAAATCAAATCTTATGGTAGGTTTAAAGAGTAATTTATTCACAGATTGTCTTCATTTTGTTCTCCTTCACAGTTAACATGAGCTTATTTTCCTAATCATTGTCACAAAGTCTACACTGATGTCACTATCACATTAACATAGTTGTCATATAAAAACAAATGTGTCTTTAACACATGTATATAGATACAGATAAATAAATTAGTACTCACTGATATGTAATAAAAAGCCAACATGCTGGATGACTTATAGTGACTTCTCATACAGACTTTGAAAATCTTTATAGTATGCACAGATACTACTTTCATAATGGAAATTACATAGTTATTTTAATTTTTAAAATAAAAATCCACTCAATACCATTTGAGGACTTGCCTCTGATATGTCCACAATTAGATAACTGCAGTATGAAAATATACAAGGACTTTATTAAGAACTTGTACATAGCATTATACTTGAAATTTTTCTTGGCTATGGCTTCAAAGTCTTGTTAAAAGAGTTAATTTTAGTAAGATGAATAAAGAGCTCTGGGTACTCTCTGAAATCCATCAATTTGTTAATTATTCATCCTTTAATGCTCTGCTGCACATTTGCTAGTAACATGAGCAAGAAGTGTGGGTGTTCTGTAAATATTAAGCAAGTAAACAGCATAATAGAATATTAAGATGAAAAGTTAGACCTGATAAGTATTTCCAGGTTTTCCTTATTCTTTTGACCAGAAAGACTAGAGCAATCCAGCAGGCATTAAACAAGAAGTGATTTCTAGGCACAGGCTAAGAGGAGAAAAGAAGAGTTGCTGAGCAGAAAGGGCAGAGGTGACCTAGAGAAATCTCATCTTATTAGAGCTGAAGGGGGACAAGCAAAGTCACAGGATTATAGTTCAAAACTCATAAAGTTAACCTTCTTTGCTTTGAAGCCCAAAACATAGTAAATGGACATGAACACATGTTCTTTTGAGTGGCCAAAATAATTTAAAAGCATTCTCACAGATAATATTAGAGAGGATCTGGGCTCCTCAGGGAAAGTGAAGGATAGAAGAATGGGAGGGACAGATATTGGTCTGTATGTATTTAAGGCAAAAAGAATGATTCCCTGACGACGAAATGTTGGGAGACATGAAAATGAACAAAACCAAAATATCTCTGATTAAGATAATATAAAGGAAAAAAATCTAGAATCTTGGGAACATTAGCCTATGCCAAGGAAAAGAAAAGAGATCATAAAGACAAGGTGGTGGGGGATTCACGCCAACAGGCAGGTTGAGGAAGAGAAGTTTGCATTTATTTTTAAATTTCTCTCTTTAGTGCATGAAATCACCACTTCTCAAAGCCATTGAACCAAGAGTTGTTCACCCCTAACTTCTTGTTTCCCATAACACTGGACACTCTGGGCTAATTTATGTGAAAGGAACCACTACTGACTTGATGACAGCTCTGAAGCCAGGAAATGTACTAACCCTGAACTCACCCAGAGCCCCTATCCCTGAACTCACCCAGAGCCCAACAGTTTTTCACTGTCAACTCTACAAAATCAACAGTGAATGAACTAAGACAACTGCATTTTAACTTAAATGACATGTGTCTAAAATACTTTATTTTTTTTTAAAGATTTATTTATTTATACATACAAGAATGGGGGTATAGGCCAGAAGTGCAGGCAGTGAAGAGGATCCACCAGAGACAGAGTGAGGAGCAGAACAGGCAGACTGACTGAAATACACTGCTGAGGGGAGCAGCGGGCGAGTCAGAAGAGGTCTGCTGCGCCATGTGGGTTGCTCCCTAGCTGGCCAGGGACTGAACTCGTGCTGCAGTGGGTGCAGTTAGCTTCATAGTGCGGTGCTTAACCCCTTGTGCCACCAAGGAGACCCTAAAATACTTTTTATTTACTGAATAAAAACCAAACACCAAAGTTGAAAGAGCAGTCAGAATTGTAAGACAGAAAAAAGCTTTTTTTCACATGATTCTTAACTGAGGAATTCTTAACAAAGGTAGAAAATGTCAATAATTTGAACAAGCTAAAAGAATGAGGGAGGAAACAACCCACAGGTTTCAATCTAAAAGTCTAAGGTAAGTGATGGGGTGAAACCTCTATTGGCAAAAATTAAAACAAGCATTTACATGTAAAGAGGTAACAAGAACAGATGCAGCCACTGACTTGGGATGTGAGGAAAAAGAGCACTAGGCCAAAGCCAGGCAAGGCTTGTACTGAACAGTCTGTTCAAGAACCTTCTGAGCCTTTATATTTTTTTAAAAAAAAATTATTAAAATATAATTCACATACCAAACAATTCACTCATTTAAAGTATACAACTCGGGCTTCCCTGGTGGCGCAAGGGGTTAAGCAGAGCTATGAAGCTATCTGCAGCCTCTGCAGCACGAGTTCGATCCCCAGTCAGCCAGGAAGCTACCCACATGGTTCAGCAGACCTCTCCTTTCTTGCCTGCTGCTCCCCTCAGCAGTATATTTCAGTCAGTCTGCCTGTTCTGTTCCTCACTCTGTCTCTGGTGAATCCTCTCACTTCCCCACCCCCCATACCTCTGGCCTGTACACATGGCATTGTCAGAGGAGCTGATCTCAAGCCCTGTGTCATCATGAGCAAGTCACATTGTCTATTTCCCTATCTGTAAATTTAAGGAAAAAATAACCTGTGCTCCTGACTAAAGAGCTATTACGAGAATCAAAGGAAACAAAAGTAGATTGAAAGGCATTGTTTAAAATTGAAAAATGAAGCACTATCGAAATAACATGGCAAATACCCAAATATTTTAGATTTACTTATCAAAATGAATATACATGATTACTGCTATTTTGTCTCCAGATTGAATTTTAACTTGAATCATTTGGATGAGGACAGAATAGAAACAGACGCAAGAGATAAGTCTATATATAATCTTCCAGATAAATGAAGCAATATGCTTATTATCTATTAGGTACAGTATTTCTTTCCCTTAGGAATAAATTATGTCTTCTAGAAATTATGTACATTCCCAGATAGCTCTTAAAAAGAAAAAAAAAAGCCTTTACCTTCACAGTCAAGTCCTCATTACCTAGTGTGATGTGGACTTGAATAGGTGGGTAAACACCTTTGTCAGCATGGTGCTCCATTGTCGCTCTCATTGCATTCTGAAATACATCAGGGTTACATGAAAAACACAGCGTTAAAAAGGGAGAGAAACTAATTATAATTTTTAACACATGCACTACTTGAAAGAAAAAAAAAATTCTGTGGAAACATACTAAAGAGAATCATAATTCTCATAACCATTATTAAGTCAGTTTTGGAGTACTTGGGAGGTATGCTGATTTAAAGAGTCCAACCAAATTGTTCATATTTTCCAAAACCAGACTTGTCTACACATTTAACTAATCTACATTAAAGCAGAAAATTTTACCCAAATATTTTTATAATTTTAGTCAGTAATGGGCAAATCTTATTTTTTTAATTTATTTTTTTAATAATAAATTTTATTTTTATATTCCCCATACAACTGCAACCTTTTGAAAACAGCTCAGCCTCTATTTTTAAGAAACATTTTAAACGTCAGAAATTGCTTTAAGAAAAAAAAAATTATAGGACTAGTTAACAGAAGTGATCTTATGATGAGGAAACAAATCCAATTTACCAATTGTTTCAAACTAAGAATATTTACATTATAAAACTGTTTTGATCAGTTTTTAAAGTCTACAAAGTATACAATGCCAATATTAACCCTAATATGTTAGGGTAGATCCGTTAAAAGGACAAAATATGGGACTGCGTTTGGAAATAGGGGTGTGAGTTCCAGGCACACCAATCAGCAGTATTAAGGGTCCCTAAGAAGGAGACTCTATCACTAGTACCAAAGGTCATTTAAGATTAGGTTCAAGATGGAAGTCACTGGTATTGACTTTATGTAAAATCTGTTATATAATATGGTAGTGTTTCTCTTATTAAGCATATGGGACACAAGATCTTTATATGACTGAAATGTCAAAGAAAAAAAAAGTTTTAATCCTTTAAGTACCCATGGCTTATTTATTTAACTACTTAGATTTTTGTAAGGTATTAGATATATTTATGCTATCTTAGAACAAAAGAGCATTCTTGAATCCTTCTTGTTCTAACAAATTCAGTTTTTCTGTATTTCAGTGTATTTTTCTGTCTCAGTATTAAGCTGAAAGCCACTTCTTCCTTCTAGCTTGCAGCTGGCTGAAAATGTAACTAAAACAAGAGTTTTCAGGGTTGATTTAGAGCAGATATTTTCAGTCACAGGGACATGTACCACTCCTCAAATCTCACTTTTCTGTCTACCAGCAAGTGCCATTGGTATGTCACCAGAGAAAAAAATGTACTAGCATAATTTTACTTAGTTTTCAAAATATGTTGCAAAGAGCAAATATTACAGTGGAAGCTCTGTAAGCCAATATGAGTGGCTTTTTTTTTTTTTAAAGCATATAATAGTGGGACTCTGGTCCTTTAAGAGTGGAAAGTTGATAATCACTTTTCTGAATGTTTTGTTTTGTAAAAATAGAAATATAACTTTCCTGAGCAATCTATGTGTCCTTCTGTTCTACCAGACAGTTAGTTCATTATTCCCAATCTTCATAGTAACCTGGAGAAAACTGCTTTCATTTTACAGAAGAGGGAACTGAGACCCACAAAGATTGAGTGGCTTCCACAAAGTTATTCATATACTAAGTGCCAGAACTGGAATTCAAATCCAGGCTTTTCTGACTCCAGGGACTGAGCTTACCACTACATGGAGGTGCCTGTCAGTATTGACAAAAGGCTGGTCTCAGCAACATCATATAACACTTAACATGGAATGACATCTTTTAATGAAACTGAGGAAAACCCAGTAGAAAACGTTCAGGGCGGATTCCTAACCTCAGGAAAGAACAGATAAAGTTTATGTAATACTATTTTACAAACCTTGAAAAGTTCAAACACCATGTGATAGAGATGGGATGGCACATAAACCACTTGTATTGGCTGTCCTGGTGATTTTGCTACAGAGCAGAAGAAAAAAATATAAAAGTACAGAGAGAAGTGCTTAAAGCATTTCTGATAAATTGTGTAGTGATGAAAAGAAAACATTTAGTATGGAGAACAGTATTATTTGGGGGAAAACGCCCACACCAGCTCTTCACTGTACTTGGCATTTAAACCCCATGCTCACACGGATTTATAACTACCAGTGACCAGTGTATGTCCTATTGTCATTCCTGGGATCCTGCACAGCAATCTAACCACTCATCTTCCCAATCTTCTCTATGACAGTGAGTCTTTTTAAAGAACACTCAACTTTAACGTCAGGATTTTACTTTCCAGAAAAAAAAGTCTACAAATTTCATAGTCCAATTCAGATGGATACACTTCTTTTTAAAGCCATTTAAAAAAATGTTCCACATCACACTACGTAAAGAGGAAAGAAATCTTATTTCTGGCATAAATCTGAAATAAAAATTTAAGCTAGCATCAATTTATCAAGGGACACTAATTTTACATTCAAACAGTTCGTAGTTCATTTGGGGGTGGGGAGCACAGTATGTAAAACAGAATCTTCAGTAGAGCAAAAGAGTAAGACTCACCCAAACATTGAATTCTAATTCCCCTGAATAAACTGTCCCTTGGGAATAGAAATGGACCACCTGGAAACTGCTCCTAGCAGTTCAATTTCCCAAACTAGCCCTTATACACTGTGATTTTTTATTTATTGAACAGTATTATGGACCAAATATGTTAATAAGGCTTTCAAAAAACACCCAGCAATTCTATTTTCAATCGGGTAACTCCTTCTACTGCGCTCTCACTATAAGGTTTAGTGCCTTGCTGCCCCTGCCAGTTTAGAAGACAGCTTAATAAAATGTCTATCTAATTTCACTCTTCTTAGTGTTTCATCATTTAACTTTGGAAATATTTGTTCTTGTATTAAACTAGTCTACCTCTAGGAAAAATAAACTCAACAGGCATATAAGGTACATAAGGTACATAAGCCTTTTTGTCCCAAAGACACTAGTCAAGGTGAAAAGAAAATCATCAGCAGTAAACAGATTCTCAAAGAGATGAGCATCTGCTTTCCTCTTTTACAACACCCAGTCATTTTACTTCCTCAGTAAAAAAGGATTTACACACAGCAGACCTCTCCTGATTCGCCCACTGCTCCCCTCAGCAGTGTATTTCAGTCAGTCAGCCTGTTCCGTTACCCACTTTGACTCTGGTGAAGCCTCTCATTCCCCATACCTCTGGCCTGTACCCCAGTTCTTGTATGCATAAATAAATAAATCTTAAGAAAAAAAAAGGATTTACAACTCAGGAAGTAAAATTCTTAAATACGCAAACCTTATTACCGAAAAGAGCATAAAAAGCTCAAATGTAATTTTCACGGCACCATTTTTTTCTGTGACGAACCAGAAAATCAAAAATAAGCAAAGAATCAATGCCATCAATAAAAAAAGGAAAATGGGGAAGATAAAGCCAAAATGTTTTTCAGAAAGAATACAACTAACCACGCACACACACGTATTTTAACATGATTGCTTTCCTGCAACTCTCATTGCAATAAAGAGGCTGACAAGTCCTTTTATATTAAAACAAATCTAAATTCTTATCATTTCTTCTTAGATAATCATAACACTAATTATTGAGGAAAAAAGAATGTCAGGCTTACCATTTAGTTCTTCAAGTTCTAGTTCAGGAGAGTTAATATAATACAAATCACACAGACGCCTAGCATTTTCATAGCCATCTAGTGTGAATCAAAACAAACAAACAAAAGCATTAAATAGGTTTACTTCTTTTGCATGCATTAAGATGGTAATAGTACTGACAAATCAAAATTTTAAATTCTAGAGGAGAAAATTTACTTTAATAGTCTTAGTTTGGGCAAGGTCTTTTTAAGTGTGATATGACAAAGCCTACCGGCCATAAAGGAAAACTGACAGATACAATTACAAAACAAAAACATTTGTATGAAAAAAAAGACACAATAAACAAAGTTAAAAGAAAACAGCAGGTTACAGAAAACATTTACAATTCTAGACATCTCGCCTTTTAAAATACTAGGAAAAGTAAATACTATCTAAGATTATTCAATGCGGAATTGTTGGTAACACAAACAAATTTAAAAAACTTAAATGTGCATCAATAGAAAGATGAATTAATACTTCCTGATACTTCCAGACAGTCATTTAGAAAGCTGGGGTACAGCTACATGCATTGAACATGACACATAGTGCCTGCAAACTTGTAGAAAAATATGCATAGAGTATCCCAATTTCCAGAATCAAAAACAATGTAGACCAACAATTATGTATGTGCATGAAAATATGTGGTATAAATAGGAAAAAGTGAAAAATGAAAGCCTAACTATTATGAATTATGGTTCCTAGCTAAGGGAATTAGAAAGGAGGGAGAGGGAACTTGAATTTTTTTAAGTAAAACAGATACCTTCAAATATCACCAAACCTTGCTTTACAAAGCATTGTATCAAAAAATATTCATCCTATACATAATGCACAATTAACATTATAAGGTTATTTTCAAACCCATGCATTTGTCCTTGCCATTTTATCTCACATTCAGTTGTATTCATATCAAGAAATTACAGTAACAATTTTGATTTTTGCACACTTTCTAAAAGGAAAAAAGTAAATATTTACCTTTAATAACTTCAACTACATTGCAGTTTGGATTTATGCTTCCGATGTGTTTTCGGTGAGATAGGCTGCCTTTGCCCTTTCCACCAAACAATAAGGCTACCAAGAAATAAAAAATAAAAAACAAAATAACTAAAATACCTAATGCTCTTTTCCAGATCTTAATATTATTTCTCTAAATAGTACAGTAGAATAAATATATTCCTTAAACACACACACGGTATTTTACATGATGTTAAATATAAACATTCAATAAAAATACTTCCCTTTTTGGTAGTCTCTATACTTTTCTTTATGCACAAAAAGAAAGCAAAATTAAAAATGGTACTTAAAAGGAAGTTTTCCAAGCAATTTTAAAATATACCAAAACATTTTATTTAGTTTCTTCTTTGACTTCTGGACACTTACAGTGCTGATTGAGTAACATTCTAATTGAAATGCGACTCATGTAGAAACGATCCAAAAAGTACTGAACATTCTGGCTGGTGACAGGATCTACCCCGAAGCTCTCCTTATATTCAATCACACCCTGGGCCATTGTGGGAATAACATCATTATGCCGGTTCCTGATACGTATTACAGTATCTGTAAAGCTAAACAAACCCATCTGTCAAAACAGTCAAATATTTTTTGTAATCTAAGCTCAATCAATTACTTTAGGCAAGAAGTCCTTAATTCAGTAAACCACACATCAGTGTGAGCTTTCCTACACTTATTCAAATAGATTTCAGGTCACAAAATATGTCAAATCTGTGGAGGTATATAGATTTCCAAAATAAAACTTTTGAAATTTAATTGTTTTCTTGGCTGACGCAAACAATCCAAAAATGTTAAGGGATTTTTTTAACCATTACTAACTGAGATCCTCTGAGCACTCATTACAAATACAGTATTTCCAGGGATATTCAGAAAAAGTAGTAACTGAGCATTTGCTTCTAGGGAATATGTTCTTTTTTTTTTTTAAAGATTTATTTATTTATGCATACAAGAACTGGGGTACAGGTCAGAGGTGTGGGGAGTGAGAGGATTCACCAGAGCCAGAGTAAGGAGCAAAACAGGCAGATTGACCGAAATACACTGCTGAGGAGAGCAGCGGGCAAGACAGGAAAGGTCTGCTGTGCCATGTGGGTAGCTCCCTGGCCGCCAGGTATGGAACTCGTGCTGCAGAGGCTGCGGATAGCCTCATAGATTTCATCTTAACCCCTTGCGCCACCAGCGAGGCCCTAGGGAATATGTTCTATAAGGAATGAAGATGAATGCACCCATAAAGCCTGTCTGATTTAGAACTGTTTCCTAGGGTTCAAACAGAGAGCCACTTAGAACAGAGACGTAGAAATGAATTCTAATTTCATTCACTGAACGAGTTTTATAAAAACGGAGAGACATGCTTAAAAGAAAAAATTTCGAATAAACTATAATTCATTTCTGTCATTTAGAAGACATTATCACATGGTTAACTTACAGAGCTGAGAAAAGAGGAAAGCAGTCTTAATTATAAAGTAACAAAATCCATCTTGTAACATACGCACCAGAATTAACACTTCTGAGTGTTTTCCCATTGAAAGTCATCACCTTGAGTACTATTAACTTATTCCAATGATACTTAAGCTCAAAACATTTTTGGAATTCCTAGTTTGTGTAATCTGCTTTAAAACCAAATTGCTAATCCAAAATACAAACAACACAGAGGAATATAACATGTTTCTTATGCCCAGCCTTGCCTGTATCGGGTGCTATAGACATATTATCCAAATGTTACTGAGTACTGGGAAAATAAAGTAACAAACAATTCATCGTTCAAGTCACTCTTTATTCATTTATTTCACCTCTTGTTAAAACCAAAACCAGTTTTATCCTGCTTGACTGCTCAGTTTACATCTTAGATTGGGCTCTGTGTGATTAACCATTTTCAAAAAGTTCTATAGTATAATGTTTACTTTCAAGTAAGACCAGTGGGTCCAAATTCTGGTCTGAAGATGTGTTGGCTAAATTACATTAATGCAACCTTAAGTTCCTTGTACACAGATATATTCTCTCAATCTAGTTATTTTAAAGATTGAATGACATCATTTGTGTAAAGTGTGCTCCATACCTAGACACAAAGTAAATTCTTGTTATTTTCAGATGAAAATCATGTTTAAAATATGAAGTGCTGGCATTACTTTTAAAGATAGTAAGAAAGAATGTATAAGACTCAGACAGGAAAAGAGGTGGTATATAAGTTTTGAGTAACATCCACTGAAATAAGCAAGTAACTACTGAGGGAACTACTGAGTTTATTAGTTCTCAGATGTTGGTTATTAACATTATTACTTTATCTTATCATAGTTCATAAACAAAAGACCCACAGACTTGTTTTTGTAGGTCTTCTGTGTTTTTAAACTTTTTAGTTGCTAATCTTTCAAAATTGAGAGAATTACATAAAAAAATCTAGATTTGGGGTCTCCCTGGTGGAGCAGGCGGATGAACACCACACTGTGAAGCTGTCCGCAGCCTCTGCAGTGAGGATTCGATCCCAGTCGTCTGGCAAGAATCCCACATGGCGCAGCAGACCTCTCCTGTCTCGCCCGCTGCTCCCCCCAGCAGTGTATTTTGTCAGTCTGCCTGTTCTGCTACCAGTCTGTCTCTGGTGAATCCTCACCCTCCTGCGCATCTGGCCTGTACCCTGCTTCTTATATAAATAAATAAATCTTAAAAAAAAATCTAGATTTGTAGTTTTTCTTTAAACACCAACCCCCCTCCCCCCTTGCCCAACCCTACCCTCCAGACAATCTGGATAGAGTTTCTGCATGGCAGTGGTCAGCTGGAGCCCAAAGCAGTGGTCCTTGAGAAGCACGCACTCTCTAGGTGAATGGCTCTCACTGGTCCCCTAATGGTCCAAGTTGCTCTGAACCACCTCTGGATTTCCATTCATCACATGAACTGTCTTTTCTTAGAGTAGTTCAGAGGAATGCAACATGCTTCTTATCCCCAGCCTTGCCTGTATGGGGTGCTATAGACATATTACCAAACGTTGTGGAATACTAGGAAAATAAAGGTTAACCAATTTCCCTGTGACCCAATGTATGATTTTTGAAGGACAGAAAAACTGTGTTCCAAATAGGTCCAAAACAGTGTACTTACTCATAAATAGTTTTAGCAACTTCAGCACTTTTATCCTTAAAATCAAGAAGTTCCTGAAGGCTCTGGATATACCTAAAAATCAAATCAATAAGGTAAATCTGTTTTTTATTTGCTGAAAGTTCAATATCTTGAGAATGTTCAAAAGGCATTTTAACACTTTTTAATGTTTAATTTAGAAGAATGCTGTAAATTATGGTTAATGTAGGATTTTTATAATCATTCCCATTCAAGCTTAAGTGTCCAGCACAAAGTTGTAGAAGCATGTTACATTTTGTTTAAAATTTTTAAGATTTTTTCTACTTCCTTATTTTAAAAAGTTCTATACTCCATAAAATAGTTTTTAAATTTCTTAAATTCACCAATGTACATTGCAGTATAAATACTGTCATGAGAACTGAATCTGTCACCAACAACTATGTGCAAATGACTTTTAACTTATCTTAGACTAAGGAAAATGTGGAGGGTAGCCTACCTGGGTCTAAGAATCTAATTTAAATGACCGCGTTTAAAACTGTAATTTTCGAAGTGTATAACTAAAACCCATAATCTAACACAGTTCTTTCCAATAGAACTGAATGAAAACACTAAAGCTATGGAAATGTAGATTTTTAATTTATGTAACAATTCAAAGTAGCAAATTACTTGTTAAAGAAAGAGCAAAATGAGGAGGGTCATAAGACTTTCTCAAGGTCATGCCACCAAACACAATGGCAGTGCAAGACCAGAACTAACAACATTACAATACAATGATGTTTAATAAAGCAATAGCTGTTTTGGCTTGTCTGTTGCTTTTGACTTAAAACTGCCCTCATTGAGCAGTCATGCAGGGGCAATGAACATGTTCAAAAAACTGTAAGTGCGTATGTTGGTTTGCAAAGCTGTTCCTGATAAGCAGTATGCCTCACTGCATTCTAAAGCATTCCAAAGTCAAGTGATTCTGATATCTATTATTTTGCTTTAACTCTTAATTTTCTCTTCATTGGCAAGAAAACAATGTCTTTATTTAGGAGATATTGGAGTAATGGCAAAGTGTCGGGCACATCCAATTTAAAAATGCAGCATATTCTATTTTTAATGAAGAATCTAAAAACACAAGAATAAGCTTCCATAGAAAATGACAAGTTCTCTATTATAGTCTATCATAGTTCTGAAACAAATACCTCTTTCTTAATTTATAATTGTCCCATACTTGAACTAGACAGCATATCACATAAGTTGCAACCATATACTCCTTTTGGTTATTTTTAAAAAATTACCTTTAGATTAGCTTTTCCAATATCAATAATGTCTACAAGAAAGCTAGGATTTCCATGAATCATAACTGGAAAATGTCTTGCAACTAAATGTGTCCTGTTTAAGACTTCGCTGTGGTCAACTCTTCTGTCTGAAACGTAGAGTGCTTAAGAGAACAACACTTAAACTAATAAATTAAAAGAAAAGCTGTACATAGGTGGCCACATAAGTGTGCACACCCTTCCTACCGCTACTGTCATTTTTTGAAAAAGAGTATAGGTTTTTAACGATTCCAAAGACTTCTAAATTATTTTGAAATGGTAAGATAAAGACTTTAACTCTGTGATTTATAGATATTTCAATAAAACAAATTCAGTTCATAAAATATATATATACTATTTAATAGATTTTATTATTCTAAGCACAGCAGAAGTAGCACAAACAAATCTAGTTTTGAATCGTAGCTCCACAGTGAGTCGTACTGCCTTAGGCAAAGAACATAACCTGAAGATGCTTCAGTTTCCTCCTCTGTAAAATGGAGAAGGGATTAAAGGTAATGTATACAAATCTCTAACCATGAATAAAAGGTAGATATTTTAATTATAACATATCCCTGCCTATTTAATAACAAATCCTAAACTTAATGTCTGTATTTCTGTGCAATTCTGATTTTTTTCAAAACCAAGGAGTGGTAGCATAGCATACTCTTCAAAGGGAATAGGAATGCTACCACTACCTTAAGATTCCACTGAAGAGTAAATAAGTATTTGCTTTAATCTTGAGTAAAGTACACACGAGTATGACATTACACACACAAGACAGGAATCTTACCAGCCTTGTACCAACTGAACTGATGGAGTTCTGAGAAGATTATCTGGAAGAAGACTTATTTCTTTCATTATATTTGCCAATCTAACAGGCAACTCTTGCCGCAGAAACATAAATGAGGTCTTTTCACAAGCATTCACTGATCCTGAAACCAAACATGACAGGAACAACAGTAAGTAAATACCATAAAGCAGCAGGAGCCAAGAGGGTGTTATTTAACAAGGTCACCATAATGACAGGGCAAGGAAGAGGCAAGAGATGAGATAACCCAGTAGCCAGAGTTGTGAGGTATCCCAAATGACTTTCTAATTCCTGACATTCCAATGGCTTCGTAGAGCAGTGAAGACATTTTCCAGGCTCCATTACTTGTATCTTTATTGTGATCTCCCATCTTAGAACTATGGCAACGTTAGCAAGTCTGAGCAAGGTGCATAATGCAATTAACAACAGTACCTGCAAAAGCCTATAATGTGTTGCTATCATTTAAAAAATCTGTTTCCTAAGAAGTAAATACCTGTCTAAGAAACAAATTTTGACATGTTCATGGAAAAAATCATTTATTGTGTACAGAATTATTACACAAATTACCATAAACAAAAACCAAGTGAAGAGGAGGGCTTGTAGATAACAAAAAGCAAAAAATAACAATGCCTGTTCAGCAACCATCTTCAAGTTTCTCCTCCAGCAGATCCCCTTAATTGTCTGATTCCTGGAAAGCAGCCTGTTCCTTTCTCCACTCCTATATCAGGCTGCCCAGCAGAACAGCTGTAGATCCTCTTTGGCAAGCAGTTCCATTTAAGTTAAACTGAAAGTCGTGTTATTTTAGTAATGTATCTTAAACTCACTAACTTAATCTTGAGACAACCCAAGCAAAAGCTAAATTGTCAATAGCAAGAATTCCAGTATAAAAGAAAATATTTTTTGTTAAAAGTTTAATGGCATATTTGTGAATGAGGTGAAATTCACCCCTTAATCATATTACAGTCATTTTAAAATAAAAACCAAGGGCTTTGGGCCAAAAGTAATTGCCACTGACAGCCACAATTTTAAGATAAAGGTGCCAACGATGCTGATTATCTTTCAGCTCCAAAAGTGACCCCTCTGTGACTTTATAATACTCACAATGCAGATGATAATTTTTCTACTTCAATTTTACTTTTTTAGAGTTTTCGTTGAATCCCCATAGAATTTCCTTCCTCAAGGCACCTGAGCACCATCACCACAGTCTCCTGTTCTCCCTCCCTCCCTCCCTCCCTCTGGTCCGTCTCCCTCCGCCCCTGCAGTACGTCTCTGATTTCTAATTGTCTGTTTTTGCTTTGCTGTGTTTTGTACTGTTTTTTTTTTTTTTTTTTACACTGATGTCTTATTTGGTTCCCCTATATTCCTGTTAAAAGTGAAAACAGCAAAGTTAAATGCCTAACTTTGCAAGTCCTCTAAAATCCGCTGCTTCCTTTATAGAGAAAACCAGAAAGCACCCATCTGAGGAAGAGGAAAGTGGATGGGCAGTTGCTACAACAGGGGTGAATCTTGATAAATCTCACAGCATCTTGTACTCGTGCACTTTACACAGGCTCAAGACTTGCTGATGAAGACGAGCTGTTGGCGGAAACACTCTGGCAAGGAAAACATTTTATGAAAACAGTGGGCCAATCACATGTGATGCTTCCCTTATCATCACATCAACTTTATGCAATCATCATATGCAAAACTGAGCATTTCTCGTCACGCCACAGACTCCCAACACGATTCGCGGTGGCCCAGGAGCCCGGCCGCGAGCGCCCTGTGCACACGTGCGATGCGAGGCAGGCGGCCGTCCGGCCCGCGGCCCTCGAGGTTTGTTTTCAACAATGCCCAGGGAGAGGGCACGCGCTCCCGGGCTTACCCGGCCGCCCGCGCCAGCCCCGGGCACACGGCTCTCTCCGTGACCGAGCAGGACGCAGCCGCGGCGCCGGGGAGGGTGGGGAGACGGTGGGGAGACCCTGAGGAGACGCTGAGGAGACCCTGGGGAGACCCTGAGGAGACGCTGAGGAGACCCTGAGGGGACCCTGAGGAGACGCTGAGGAGACCCTGGGGAGCCCCTGAGGGGACGCTAAGGAGACCCTGAGGGGACGCTGAGGGGACCCTGAGGAGACCCTGAGGGGACGCTGAGAAGACCCTGGGGAGACCCTGAGGGGACGCTGAGGAGCCCCTGGGGAGCCCCTGAGGGGACGCTGAGGAGACCCTGAGGGGACCCTGGGGAGACCCTGAGGGGACCCTGAGGAGACCCTGAGGGGACCCTGAGGAGACCCTGAGGGGACCCTGAGGAGACGCTGAGGAGACGCTGAGGAGACCCTGGGGAGACCCTGAGGGGACGCTGAGGAGGGGGTGCGCCTCGGGCGAGAGGGGGCCGGCTCGGGCCCAGCCCCGGGGGTCCGCGGCCGCAGCTCCCCGCCCCGGGCCGCGCACAAAGGCCCGAGGCCCCGGCCGCACTCACCGAAGTCCAGGAACTGCTTCATGGAGAGCGGGGACGGCGAGAAGCGCGCGTAGAAGTCCACTTGGCCCGGAACGCCCCGTTCGGGCGCCGGGCCGGAGCCCGCGTCCGAGGTGAGGCTGCGGCGGGCGCTGGGGCGGGCGGTGCGCAGCCCGGGGCCCGGGCCGGCCGGGCGGCGACGCGCAGCAGCCGCGCCAGCCTCATGCCGAGCCCGGCTGGAGGAGCCGGGGCCCCGCGCCAGGTCTCGGCTCCGCGCCTCGGCGGGGCTGTACGTGAGAGACGTGGCGGGCCGCGGGGGCGGGGAGCGGCTGTCACCTCCGCGGCCGCCGCCCCCTCGCCGAAGCCCGCCCCCTGCGCCGCTGGGCGGGGCCCAGGGGGGGAGGAGGCAGGGCCCGCGGGGGAGGGACGCTCCGAGGCCGGCCCCGCGTGGCGGGGCGTGGCCTAGGGGCGGGGCGTGGTTATTGGGCGAGGGGCGTGGTTATTGGGCGGGGCCTAGGGGCGGGGCCCAGTGGCGAGGGGCGGGGCTGGCCCGCGCGGGTCCGGTGACTGACAAACGCCGGTGCGCGTGGGAGCCGGGCGGGCCAGTCCCGGGCAGGTCCCCGCCGTCCGGCCGAAAGTCAATGCCAGGGGGCGCGGTCAGCGGGTGGCCGCGGCGTCCCGGGATGCTGTGTCCTACTGGCGATAGGATGTGCCCCCTTCCCCGCGCCCTTTTGGAATAAATCCCACCTTTCTGCTTTCTTGCCCTCGTAGTCCCACCCGAAGGACCCGGGACGGGGCGGCCCTCCGCCCGCACCCTCCGAGAAGTCCCGTTCCGAGCGCACTTTGGAAACTCGCTGATGCCAGCCCTGCATTTTCCAGGACAGCTGAGACCAGGGGAGTTTCAGGAGCCGACTGCTGCTGGACAGTGGTACGTAAACACAAACGTGGACACTAGGGAGCATGGCGCCAAAATCAGCGACGGTCGTCCCGGGGGAAGACAGCTGGCGGCCCCACTTGGAGCATTATCTGCAGGCATCTCGGCACGGTGAGCGGACTTGAAGGACCTCTCCACTCCTGCTGCCCTTCTCTTTAACTGCTTTCTTAGCGTCATGGCTTGGCTTCTCCACCCTTTCAGGTTTTGAAATAGTAATATAGAACTAGGCAATGTCTGCTATTGGTTTGATCCCACACACGAGCTCCAGAGATGCAAAGGCTGTGTCTACAGTAAAAATCCCCCGTGTCCCTTTCTTTCCAATAACGCTTACCCTGTGTCTACCCCGAGAGCTTTGTTATGTCTTGGATGCAACAAAGTTACTTTTTCATTGGTGTGAAGTTTGACAGTTACTGGTATAGAATATCAATTCATTTGTCCAGGGTGGTCAGGTCTCAGGTTGTGTTAAAAAATCATCTCTATGAAGAATGAGGGGAGGGGTATTTTTCGGGTGTATTGGTCCCACAATTTTTGCTTGAGGGAGGACATTGACCACCTGTAAAACAGGTGTAGGTGTTTGGAGGATAGGGTGGAAGCAGTACATGAACATGTTCTCCAAAAGTGGTACCTTTAACAATTTTTTCAGGTCTCTGTTGACTTGACAGTTATTAAGACTTTGCTACACATACCTTGCAGGAAGCAGTATGAACATAAAACCAAGAGATGTAGAGAAAGAGGATTGGTATCTCTTTTATGTTTGCTGCCTCACCAGCCATACTCCATCCCTCCCAATGTGGCTTGCCTTCTTTTATTCTCTGAACATTTGTAGAATCCTGGTATAAGTACCAGGGAATGTTCCAGGTGATTGGGAATAAAGCCACAGGCATTTCAGTAGGCTCCCTTTCAGCTATTCCTGGTCATACAAAGTAAGCTTCCTACATATTAGAGAGCCTGCACAGTGAAGGAAGGAAGAATTAGGTTTGTTCTGAATGGCTAACACTACAGATAGAAGACTTGTGGTGGAAACTTTAGGGCAACAGATCTGTCTTACTCATAGACAATCTTCCGATAGGTACAGCCATTTGACCATGAAATGAGCAGCCTTACAGGAGGAGAGGGTTCTTGTCAATGATGGCTAGTCAGACTTTAGACAACAGCTTTTTAAGGATGATGCCAGAAAGACTAAAGGGAGGAAGGTCATGGCAATGAAAAGAGCCTGGGTTCTGGCTTCAAATTCCTGGCTCTGCCATGTACTGGCTATGTGACCTTGAGAAGTTACTTAACCTCCCCGAGCCTCAGTCTCCATACCTAGTAAGGAGAGTTAATGTCTATGTACTGAGTGACTGTGACAGGGATAGTATAACTTTATGTTAGCACAGTGCCTGGGGCATTCTAGACACTCAGTAAAAGACTTCTATATTTTTAATCATTATTGCTATTTAAGAACATATTTCCATATTAGAATTTTATTAGAATCACTCACACACATTTTGTCTGATGCCAAATTTGCCAAAAGCTTTATTTTTAAAATAGTCCCTCAGGGGCCTCCCCGGTGGCGCAGCGGTTGAGCGCTGGGTTGCGAAGGTGCCCGCGGCCTCTGAAGCGCCGGTTTGATCCCCGGCTGCTTCCCGGCCACCGGAGGAGGGTCCCACATGGCGCGCAGACCTCTCTCGCCGCCCGCTGTACCCCGAGGTACAGCAGTGTACCTCGGTCCTTCTGCCTGCTCTGCTCCCTGCTCTGGCTCTGGTGAATTCTCTCACCCTCCCACGCTTCTGACTGTACCCAGTGCTTGTATAATTAAATAAACCTTTAAAAAAAATAATAAAAAATAAAATAGTCCCTCAATCATTTTTACAACTCTGTTCCAGCCTTCTATGATATTGCCTTCCTCTTTGCTCTCATGCCTGTTCCTGAGTTCCTGATCCCTGAGCTCCAAATTCTTCTCACACTCTTATACACAGTATTATTCAACTCTTTCAACCCCTATTTGCAATTCTAGTGCTTTCTACCTGAGCGTGTCAAGGTGATCAGCTGAACATTAACATGTGGAAGCACAAAGACCCAGAAGAAACCTTGACATTTATTTTAGCAAGGTTTGTTCTCCTAAAAAATGTCAGTTGTTTTATAAAAAGTGGTTTTGTTTACTTATCTCCAAATTATTGTTTAAAATAGTAAGTCTCATATTGAAATCCTTTTTGCTAAGCCTCAACTCACAAACGAAGACTTTAACTTAAATTTCCACTCTCCCAAAAGTGGATCATAAACGAGTCAATCAGGAGTTATCTGATGGGCACTAGTCAGGTTATCTGCCTGTCAGAACACTGCCAGCCCCTAAACAAAGTAACCTTGCAATCACCAACCTGATTGTTGCCTGGTATAACTTGTTCCTGTTCCTTTCTGCCTAAGAACATTTTTCATTTTGTGCAACTCCTCAACAGTCCTTTCTACCTGCTATAGCATACTCAAGTCAATTTTTATTCAACAAAACTTTAAATTTTTATATGACTCACTTTATCTTTTAATAGTTCATTCACCAAGTTTCCACCCAATATAGAGAATGAGCATGTAAGACCTATATAAACTAAATCTTTTTATTGCTTCTTGGTCACAGGCTTAGGGTCCTATAGGTAAAGAGAACATTAAATTTCTCAGGCATCTGTCCACATGGTGGTTGTTGAAGGATAAGCCTCCCCAAGATACTTAGTATAGGCCTTCTCAAAATGTGCCACTTTGTCATGTGGTTTATTTTGAGCTAAGGTCATTTGAGCCCCTGAACCCTCCTGAGAGGCTTTTACTATTCCCTTACCTACCTAGGAGAATATAAATTGGGAGTCATGCCTAGCATTACCACCAGAAATAACTATCTGTCTGAACAACCTCCCTAGATGACTGGCAAACATCTAATTACAGAGTTTCTGTTCTCCATCTTCTGAGTCACCCTCTCCTCATCATGTAAGTTTCTTTCCTTTCTCCTTGAAGCCCCAGCGCCCTTTCCCATTGCTTTGGCTCAGGATATATACTCCCATTTTGCTGTCTTTGGAATATTCAGTCTATGTAGATTTCCTTTGTGTGTGTAATTATTTTTTTCCTCCTGCTGCTAAGTCTAATGTTGATTTGATTATTCTACCAACCTGAGAAGAACAGTGAGAACTTGTCCCCTTCTCCCCCCACATCAAGATTGTTGAGGTACAAAGGAAATCGTCCCATACCCTACTTTTCTCAGGCTGGACAGTCATCAAGACAGCCTCAAAGGATTAGCAAAGGAAAAAATAACATAATAACATACAGATGGAGAGTTTGCATCATTGTAAATTCTAAAGAATAACAGAATAGACAGGATATTTATCCTGTTTTTAGGGCCCTGAGAATTCAAATAGGTGGACTTTACAGAACAGATAAGAAGGGTTCCTCATTCTGAGAGTTAAAGAGTCTTAGGGGCCTCCCCGGTGGTGCAGCGGTTGAGCGCTGGGTTGTGAAGCTGCCCGCAGCCTCTGCAGCACCGGTTCGATCCCCGGCTGCTCCCCGGCCTCCGCCGGAGGAGGGTCCCATATGGCGCGCAAACCTCTCCTGCCGCCCGCTGTACCCAGTGCTTGTATAAATAAATAAATAAATAATCAATCTTTAAAAAAAAAAGTCTTAGGAGACGACATGTTCACTAATATACCTGCAACCGGATGAGACCCTTCTCCCCTCTCCCTCCCTGCACCCCTGCAATCATAGCCCTTTAGGGCAGAAGTTCTAGCAAGGGAGGCTCTCATCTTCAATTAGGGAGAAGCAATAGCTTCAGAGGGTTTCGTTGTATTAGCTGAACATATCCTAAAAGCCAGAGGGCTGCATCTTGAGATGAATTCTGAGAATCTTGGGGTGGTCTGATTTAGACACCTTCAAAACTATTGTTAAAATTATTTCAAGAGGAAGCAGTATGAACCTAAGACCAGGAGATGGTGGTAGTTCATCTACCAAGGTAGCTGCACCTTCAGTCACCTGGGGAGCCTTAAACGGCACTGATGCCTGAATCCCACCCTCAGATTCTGATAGTCTGGGCAATGGGATTAAAATAGTTCCCTTGGAATGCAAATGGCAGCCTAGATTGAGAATGACCATGCCGCACTTTCTGGGGATGATGTTGGCTCCAGGTACGTCAACTATTATCTAAATGCAAGACTGAATTCTGCTACTTAAAGTAAATTCGTGTGTGTGTATGTGTGTGTGTATCAGTGCCACCTATTGTTTCAGATGCTAAGCTTCATCCAAAATTTCAGAGCCAGTGTCTTCTTTGTATGATGTATATTCTCAGAGCCTGATATCCCTAGACAATGGAGAAAAAAATTTAAGACCTGAGTATCTCCATCTCACAAGAACAGGATCTTAATAGCCACTGAAATTTTTATGATTATTGATGCATTAAATCCTTACTACTGGACTGAGACATCAAAAGAATACTGTCTCTGTAATTTCAGACTTTTTGTGAATAGTCTAGGAGGATGAATAGTGTAAACAATTTTACCTGATCTCTGCTAACACAGGTGTCTCTGCCCCCATTTCCATGACCCTGGGGCAGTGAGCCTGGACAGTGGCTCCAGGAGTAAGCACAAAAACATTGAGGCACATCAGCTTTGCTGACTGCTACAAAAATTGCACTTGACTCCACTCCAGTATAATCATCAACCATTATCTGACTAGTTCTGCCCTTGTGGCACCTGGTGCTTGGACCAGTTTATTCACTGTCATTTGCTTTACAGTTCACTTATCCTTACAGGATTTAAATGAGTCATTTTACAACTTTCCTCCTAGATGGGTCTCTTTTTAACACCTCTGCAGAACTGACCTCAGTCTCTACCCCACAGCACTCCCACACACTAACAGGTGAATCGGATGTATTTCAGTCAGCAAAACCAGTTTTTTAAGGTACAAGAAAGAAAATACTTGCTGTATTCCTGGCCATAATCAGGAATTACTGGGTGAACAGATACCCATTAGCACCTTTGCAATAATTACTTTTGAAAACATTCTGAAGTTCACTTTCTTCATCTCTTTGACCCTTGCCCTCTGCTCATTTCAAGGGTTTGGACTGTGATAGCAGTTGGCCCCTATTTTTTGGTCTAAAGGAACTGCCTTTAATCTTTTACTTTATGCTACCCAACTCTTCGAACATGCCTGTTTTCTCAGTGCTCAGAATCTGCTTAGGTGGAACCCAGACACAGCATTCACTCTTTCTTCTTTCCTCTATTTAAACCAGATTGGCCAACAATCCCAGTTAGCTTCCTGTCTTTCCACATAGTCCTTTCGTGGGTTGGTGTACTAGAGATCAGTTTCTCTTTGGATATTTTCACTTAGGATTAAAAGGTTTGGACTTGCCCTTATTTCTGGGCAATTTAAAGCATTCCCCACCAACATATACCTCACACTGTAGAATGTTCTCCAACACAAGGGCAGGACGTAAGCCATGACTGTCCGTGACCCACTGTGAGGTCTATGGCATGTAACCTGCAACCAATAAGCATCAGTGTTTGCAAATGGATCCAAGGATATCCCTATCATACTACTACCTTCACTCCTAGGAATTCCTGCAAGACTTTTTGAGAGAGAGAGAAGGAGAATCACAGGAATTCTACAGAGCACTTCCATCACCTGCAGTCCAGGTCATTTATGTCACAGCCTTAGCCAAACCACAATAACTGACACTTTTACTGGTTATGGTGATTACACATGATTGCACAGATTCAACCTGGGTATATCCATAATGGCTTTGAAAGGTTCACAGCCATTGGCTCTTCATTAAAAATTGCCTATCACACATTTCTTGGGGGTGGTTATACCTATCTGATCTTTAAAGAGAGAAGAAGGCTAAGACAATATTAATCAAGTACATCAGAAAACTATTACCTAATAGACATATAATACACATTAGGTTGGACATGTATTCAAGTAGGGATGCTATATTGTCTGGACACTATGTACATGCTTTATTTCATTAAATTGTGACAATTCTAGCAACATTTCATGAAATTGCTTAAATCTAAACAAAATCCTCTGGTGAAGAAAATATTTCCTGATCAGTCAATTCTGCCAGTCCTGGCAATCAATATGACACATATCTCAGCTAAACTGCTCACATGCAAAGTATGTCCTAGGACAGCAACTCAGCCACAACAGCTTTCATTCTTCATGTATAGTACCACTAAATGATACCCCATCCACAGAGACATAAACCTTTGAAGCAGACAGATCAATGCAGACAGACAACTCCCAATTTGTCAATACCTTGAACAAGCCACCTAAGATCATTTTCTTCTGAGCATCGACTGAAGGGCCAAAGGGAGGGAAAACCCCTCATCACATGTGCATTGCATTTTGGGGGCTGCTAGTAGCTGTGATTATATTGGATACTAATAATAAATAAAAACATTGAAAACTTTAGTTTGGCTGGATGAAATGAAAAGGCAATTCAAGTTAACATTTATAATTTTAGTTTGTTTCACAAAGACAATGCTGTTTTACTAAGCAATGAACACTTTCATAAAAAATTTATTTCACACTTTTGTACAAATATCCACAGGTATTTTCTAATCATGAAATAACTTTACAATGCTAGTTAGTATAAAAATGTATCAAATGCAAACAGACCAGTGACTTGACTTGAGATGACATTTTTAACAATTATAAAGTTAACCACCATTACATTCTTTTTTCCTGTTGTTAAACCACCCTTCTACCCCTGCCCCACCCTCCCCTTTTCAGGACATTCATTTTTTAATACAGGTCTATAAGCACTTTTAAAATATCAGCTTCTTGGCAACCTATAAAGCCAGTGCATTGGGTTCCAAGTTACCTAAGCAAGAAACTGAGATTTTAAACATGGTTTATAAGCTGTTTTAAGAGAAATTCTTGTAAACAAAATAACATCTGTAAAATTATTTTTGTGAATGAAAAATTCAAAGTACAACTACAATAATGTCCTTAGTATCTTAAGAACATAAGATTTCTATACAGAAAAAATTAAAACTCCAAGCAACAATGGCACATATAGCTGAATTTTGCTCCTTGAAAGATCAATACACTACTTACACTAGATCCAAACAAATTAGCACCTGTTTGCTGCTGCTTCCCACATAACTTATCATGAAGCACAACTGGCAATTTGGCTTTCATACCTGTTCAGTCTCTATTTAGACTATAAAAATCATGTCTTCCTCCCTCCCCCTCCATTTTTACAATTAAAAAAAAAAAGTCAAGATTTTGTTAAAGTGGTCCCAAAGGAATTTTGGGAATAAATTGGGAGGGTGGGGGAACAAAGCAAAAAATAGAACACTGACACTGATTAAATGGTTCCAATAATATCTAAAAACTTAAAAGCCGAGACATTCTATCTGACTTTTGGTATCAGATAGTCAGTAGTCTTACACTGGATGGGTTAGGAGCCACCAGAGGCACTCACCACTTCTTTCAAGTCCTGAAAATACAGTATCTGCAGCAGTGGCTACACTGTACTAACGTTCAATAAACAAATCCCTTGATTCCAAGAGTTCCTGAAAGTGATAACAGGAGAGTCAGAAATATCAGAGTTTTAAACTCTAAAATATCCAATGTCTGTTAAGAATTAAATATCTTATGGTTAATCCTATTTCTTAAACAAAGCTTCGGGGTTTGGAGGGAGGCGTCAAGGCTCTCATGAAGGTAGATGTTCTAATAACTTAAATGCATCTATAAATGCTGACAACTCTCTGGTACATTTATAAAGAATAGTTTTCTTTTTGCAGTAAATAATTTAGGTCAAACCAATGACCTCCCACATTCTAATTCTGATGTTTTGATCCAACCTGAAGGGGTAAAGGAGAATCTTTGGCCTGTTAGTCAATAACAAAATTATTTGTAAAAAATAAAAAATAAATACCATGTACAAATAAGTATAACTAGCATTGAAATCTGTCGTGCCTGTGTGTTTTAGTGAAAAGGGAGAATGAAACCTCTTTGTGTTTGGTGTGAGCAAGTATTCACACATTTAGGAAATGGAGAAAAATGGCAGGATGGCAGCCTCACCTTCTATTGCACATTTAATCAAAGAAAGCTCTTGCAATTGACACACAACTGCCCCGATGGCATAGTCTTGCGATGTGCAACAGTTAACCAGCAGGTGCTCCAGTCCTACAGAAAGAATGTTTGCAGAGGAAGTGACGAGGTTAGCACGGTCACTCTGTTAGTGCAGTGATTGTGGGTTCCTTCTTCAGCTACACTATCGGGAGGATGTCACATGAGCACAACTGGGCAGGCTGTTCCCCAGCCACACCAATAACAAAGGCAACCTGGCAAGTTAAATTAAGGCAGTTAAAGAAAAATCCATCCAACAGTCTTAAATTTGGTTGTGCAAAACAAAGGAGCCTTAGGCTAAGTAACAATGTCCACAGATAAAACTGTAGGTTCGTACTGTGTGTAGTCTGTCTGAAATAAACATTCAGGTACTGAACGGGTTTATAAATCCATTTGAATTTCTGAGCTGGGAAAAAAAAAGTCGGTTTGGGTATTGCGTAGCTTTTTGTTTTTCCTCCCCTATGAGTAGCTTTCGTTTTCATTCCACCTTGTGATCCACTGTTTTTTTTCAAGGTTATCATTAAACTTTTCATCTTTGATCTCTCGCTCTTCTTTTCGGATCCTGACAGCATGGTACTTGGGAACGCTATCATCGTACCTAGAGCGTTTAAAGAATCCACACTGGAGAAAGGGAAAGAAAAACAGAAAACAAATTAAATCACCTCAAAAAAAAGCAAGTGCACGAAATGGGAATGTCTAAGCTTTCTGCTCAGCTATACCTACCCATGGACTAAGAAAAAAAAAGACATGGTTTTCCTATAAGAAAGAACTAAGAGGTCAAAAAGAAGGGACCCACAAAGAGCGGGGATAAGGGTAAAAGAAGAACAGCTGTAAAACCAGAAGAAAAGTCTGTTTTCATGTTGTCTTTACATTTTACACCAATGTGAGCTACCTCTTCATGACTAACTGAAGAGTTTATGAAACAGTGCTTCCATTTTCAGTAGTCACAAGATTATGTGTAGAAGACCTAATTTTCTGATGATCAGATTACTTTAAAGAACAATCTCTTTAAAGCTCATAAACCAAAGATTATTTCATGTTCCTCTTTCACTAACAAAATGGAACCCAAGTCCCATACTATTTAAATTTGACAGTTTGTTCAAATGGTCAATTTAAGAATCTTCTCTGAGTCTCCAGCACACATCTCTCATTAGCTAGAAGGCCATTTACATTACCTGGACTTGCTGTTGTGCTTCCAAACTAGGCTGTTTCATTAGTGAATCATGTAGTAACTGTGTCCTACAATAAACTCAATCATGTACTGAACAGAACTGAGGAAAGCATCACTAGATTATTTCAGAGCACCCTCTTGTTTTCTATTCTGCACAAAGACATTACATTGAAATCATTGATGAATATATATTTTATTTTAGAAAATATTCAATCTGACCCAAAGTAGATTTTTATTGAGAATATATCTGGAAATGTTAAAATCAGATTGAATTATTTTAATGAATAAAATATATATGCCTTTTTAGAAAAAGGGTATATTTTAAATTTAAAGATGCTGATAGAAGGGTGAGAAAGATACTTAGAATGGTAAATTAATGTGATTATTATGTGACATTACCAGGAACAGAAAATATTTATGTTGAATGACATGTCATTAAAATATCAGGGGGCACAATAAACTTACGTACATAGTTATTAGGAATGATGGACAATAGAACCATCATTAGGAATCAATAGGAATGATGGACAAAGAAATTCTATTCTGAGACCATTTCTACCTGAAATCGTTTATTATTCTGCCACCAAAAAAGGCAAAATACCTACAGAATGTTGACTCATTCCCTATTTAAACAAAGAAGGAAGTCAAGTGTGATATTGAAACTGAAATGGAAATGTTGGGATTCGTCCTGACAGTGCCATGTAGGGGATTACAGGAGTAATCCTCTCATGCCCACAGAAATGGAAAAAGGAATTGCTGCCAAATTCCTGTTTCCATGGATCTACAAATAAGAGAAGCAAAACATGAACTTAAATCAGCTGAGACTCAAGGTTGAATAAAATTTCTAGCACATGAAACAAGGCCAAACTCTATTACAACATACTGAAATTAAAACTGCACAGAATGTTTCCATACTAGAATTTTGTATATTGAGGTCACTTTGGTAAAAAACCATCTTCTGAAATTGCCCATAATGTCCATCATGCCAATAGTCATGGTTTGTTGTAATGGTCTTTGACCTGGAGTAGAGATGCAGGAGAAGGAGGTTGCATGCTTAGCTAGCAAAAGACAATTTCTGAGCAACAATAAAAGCATTTCAAGCCTTCCCCCATCACTTTATAGCAAGGAGATAAAAGATAACAGTGAGAAAGCCTCCTTATCAAGAGAAATGTTTTAACATGCAACGGGTTAATTAGGCAGTTGACACAAGCTTCTATCTGTGGGAAATTCCAAAATGGACAAGAAATCTGGAATGATTTCTCATGCATCTTTGAAATTCCAAGTGGGGTGCTATACACTGGTTTAACAACATACAGCAACTGGAGGCTTAAATCCTCCTTTTGTGTATACAGACTGTATTTTTCTTCATAGCTGTGGGTGATGTTTAACAACACAAAATAACTCACCTGCAACAAAAGATTCTTTGTGGATTAAAACACACACACATACAACTGAGATTTCAAGTGAAATAAAATAAAATCCAAGCAAGGCAAGCCAGTGTGGACATTTGGAAACATCTGTTAATGGGACACACACAGCAAGCGGTTGCTCTGAACGTTAGCCACCACAACCATAGCAGGTCCCACAGCTAGCAATTAAAAAACATTGATCAATTACCAATTACAGAAGTAGATCAATACTATGCATCAGAAGTAAGCCTCTCTTTATCAGATGGCTGAGCATGGATCTCAGCCTTGTGATATGTGGCATCATAATGATCTTTCTTATTTCTCTTGAAGAAACCACACTACAAGGAAGCAAGGTATTTAGTCAGTTTTACAGTTTTGTGTATAAGAACTAAACAAAAGAAAATCTCAGATTTTAACCTGTTTTCTATTTATAGCTTGTTTGTAAAGAGGCCACTCTGGAGCAAGCCAAAATGAACAGTCACTATATCATGTTCACTGTTATGAACAATCAACCCACCTCTGTAATACCTGGGCTCTCTGGTAAAATATTCATATGGATGACTACTGCCAACTAATTGACTTTTCTAACAAACATTGAGGACAAAAATCATCCCCAAAGGGGAAAATATACACATCTGATTATAGCTTCAGGTGATTTCTTCTTGCAGGAGAATACAGACTCTAAAACAGGCAAAAGATTGAATTCCACAGTTTATTGAGACAAAGGTTGAAGAACAAAGTCTCCAAATCCAAATAAAAAAGATAATAAATTTTTCTGTCTTACAGGAAATTTTAAGGAACAAATGGCATTTGCTTGATGTCCTTTGGAGATTTGTAGTGTAAATCGCAACACAAATTCAAACACAGCATCATGACAGGATGATTGTTGTCATTTTCCCAAATTCTGAACCACCATCTAGCCCTTAAGTGATATGAACCTATGCCCCTCAGGTTAGGTCACTCTAGACGAGTATAAAAGTCTAATTCCATTTCTACTATAATTTCCTTCATTCAATGATGGAGGACATTTTCTACTTACTTTTATCTAGTTCGTAAGACCATGGAACTGTCCTTTGAAATATAATCTGGTCAAATAAATCTCTGCCACCCACTCTGGTGATGCCTGAAGGTAAAAGTCCAGGTCTGCTTGGTATAGTATGGTAGCCACTAACATCAAGTTAATTTTAATTTAAAATTTAATACCTGAATTGTACTAGCCTTACTCAAGAGCTCAGTAACCATATGTGTCTTAGTCACTATTCATACTGGACAGTGAAGCTTAAAAACATTTCCAATACCACAGAACATTATACTGGGTAGAGAAGTCTAGAAGTTGATTGAGAGTAACTTAATGATTACTTGTGACTCTCAAATAATTGATGAAAAATACAATTGACATACCCAGTCAACTTTCAATAACACAGTCTAGTAAATAGGGTGGGAAAAGGAATGAACCAGGGACTGAGAATCCTGGTCCTGTCTGCAACTTGGTAACATTCTTAACATCCCCTGGGCATGAGCATCAAAATGAAGTGAAGCCTGGAGGATTTTTCTCTTTTACCTACAAACAAAATCCTATACAAAATCTCAACATACAAAGTAGAGACGAAACTGTTCTGGTGGAAGTGGAGATAGTGGTCCCAGCCCCACATTCCTGGCTTAGTCTTGACACCTACATAGATGTACAATATCTAGTTAAAGGCCACTGAACTAAGGGTCCTTTCTGAACCTATAATTCTGTGGTTTTAACACCAAAAAAAAAAAAAAAAAAAAAAAGATTGCAATTCAGAAAGAAGAGTATTAATAAAAAAAAGTAATTTTACGTGGGGGTTACAGAAGTTGTCTTCTATTGTTTTAGAGAGTACACATGTGAGTCTGGATGTTGTAGAGCTTCCAAAACACAACAAAACACAAGATCACTTAGTCTAAGCTACTCATTAAACAGCAAAGGTAAACCAATGCCCCAGGGAGGTAAAATGATTTCCCAAGATTACACAGCTTGGGTTTCTTGATTCTTAACCCACTGTTATGCTCATTCTCATTAAAGACTGCCAATGAGACCTGCTTTGAAAAAGGTCATCCTAGTGACCTCTTTTAGAAAGCTCAATTAGGCCATTCTCAATTATCAAACCTCAAATCAGTTTCTGATAGCAAAATTAATTTTCAGGGCATCTCCTATATTAGATGGCTGTGTGCCTGCCAGGGAAACCTTCTCAGAGGTGAAACTGGCTAATATGCCAAGCAAGGAGGAATTGTGGCATGACAGATACCAAGCTTCATACACATATTTGGAGACTAGGAGAAAATTATCTCAGACTGGCAAAAGAATGTTTCTTAGGAAAATGAAAAAGAGGTCCCATATTGGAAAGTAAGAAAATCCTTGTTCATTACACTTTGATTCCAAGGAAAGGATAAAGATGGTTTGAGGCTAAAGAATACTGCTTGAGGGTCATAATCCTTTATCAAAACTCTCAGAACACAACATGTTTGGAATCCCAGAATTTTTGGTGTTTTAAAAAAGTAATATGCTGCATACACTATGCCACCGTGATCAAAATATTAATATTTTTGCAGTGGAACTAATGAATAAAGGATAAAGATTATAAATAGCCTCTCTTCATACCATGTCATGTTTTATTGCCACATAAATTACTACAAACATTGTTTTCAGAGATTTTTGGAATTTGTAATTAGAGAGAAGAGACCGTAGACTTCCATTATTTACTGAAATAATCGTAAATCTACAGGTTGTAGTTTTTGCAATAGAAGTATGCATTCATCTTATAGACACTTTTTTGAATGTAGCCTGCTTACAAATAAAAAGCAAAAAGAAGAGACTGCATTTTATTTACAGTCAAAGGACCAAATTCCAATGAATGTGATATTGAACCCAAATCTTTCTACTGTTTCACACAGGCTATGACTCCTTTAAGATGGTGTTATTCACCTTTTCTTGGTTTTCTATCCCAATCCAGCTGTACCTATAACAAACTTAATGGCTAGAGAAGATTTAGCAGGGTTATAAGGGTTAACATGATATCCAACAATTTGATTTAGATCCAGAATTTGATTGAGATGAAAAAAATGCTATTCAAGTATTAGGTTGCTGGAAAAGTCATGACGTAATTTTTCTGTTTTCTATGCAAAAATGTGTCAATACTTTTCTGACAACCCAATAATAAAATTTAAAAAATTGTTATTTGTCAAGCATATTAAATTATGTGCAAACCAACAAAATTTTTACACTTAATAAATTTCTTATACAAACAATATGCTTTTAAACAAAAAGTATTAAGTCTAGGTGTTCATTGTACAAATTCTCAATTATACTCTAGGCTGGAAAAGTGTCCCAATAAAATAGGGGTAAAGAAGCAATAAAAATTAAAGGACATACACTATCAGTGTTAATTAACATTTTTAAAACACGAAATAAACTTTTTATCACAAAACTCAAATGTCAGAGATGACTTACCTTCCATAGTAAAAACACCAATAGAGCAAGCATCAAAATGCCAGCAAGAATAGCCACTAGGATGATCCACCAAGGAACTCCTGAATATTGAGCTGCAGTTTTTGAGGGAAACACAGTCACACGAACCTGTGGGACAAAGAGAGCAACGTCATCAAAAACTTCGGTGAGAGTTAATTTAAAATGTTTATTGTTCTAATTCTGCTTCCAGAAAATTTGGACAGTGCAATCCATGGACAAATGAAATGCCGTTTTGATGCAAGATCCTTTCCCTTAATAACAGAATATTGTTTCAAGATTCCTGGGAGATCTTTTTCCAGAATCTGGAAAATGCTGGACTGTGTTTTGACATGGTATTTCTTTGCTAACTTACCTTTAAAATTTTTTGTTATCAGCAAGTGTACAGAAATTTATATAGTGAGCCATTACTTATCACCAAGTTTCAACAACTATCAGTATATAGGCAATCTTGTTCCAACTATATAGTCTGTTCTCTTATTGGTTTTGGGCAATGGAAATAAAAGAGCCAGTTTATGCATAATTAGCTTACATTTCTCACTCAGCTTTGAAAGATACTGTGAAATATAAAAACAGATGGAACAACATGACTGGAACCATTTTAACTTTTCCTTAGGAAATCAAACTAAGGGCCTTAGAAACAACTTTCTGAAATGGCCTGGTGCCATCTTCTACAATGACATGCAAACTGGCCCTGAGATTCACGTAGAAGCAGCTTTGAGCTTTCAGATGAAGCGGATAAGAAGTTTAAACTCTAAGTACAGATAGTATTTATTCAGAAACCCAAAAGGTTTCTTACGGCAGTTCATAACTCAGATAATAGCTGTTCAGAATTCAGGTGGATTTCTGTGATGCCATGAGACTTTTTCAAGCACATAAAAGACCAGGTGATTACTATAAATGTGACTTTATAAACTACACTGATTGAGACCTACCAGTTTAAGGTTTCTGATATTTCTGAATTAATATAAAAAGTAAAATGCTTAGAGGAAGCACTTAATCCTGAGAAGTCAATATTCTATATTAGCACTGAACCCGAAAACACATCTATACGAAAATCTTTTTTGTTATCTCCTTTGTGCTTATGCAACAAAACAGCTTACCAAACTCATTTTATTTCTAAAAATAGCTAAAAGCAAAAGAACTGCCTTTCTTTAACCATTTCATAGGAAGGAATTCACATTAGTGCTTTCAGCACAAACACCTTTACCAGCAGCTGTGTTTCCTGTTATTCTCTCAGAGGCTGCCTTCAGGCCCCCACCCCAGCCTGGCTTCATGGCTCACTTCCCCCCATCGGTGTCCCAGGTCTAAGCCAAAGCAGCCCTTTCTTAAGATTACAAGGGTATCCATTAAGTAGAGAAGAAAGAATGGTGAGCATATACTGAAGAAATAATATAGCTGATGTGATGGGTAAGCTGACTGTTCTAAAACACGAAGAAACTTTCAATTGGTCTTTGATGTGGTTCATTTAACTTTACTTTCCTAGTATCAAGCTCAGGAGGCACATGGTAAGTCCTTGAGGGCAAGATGATGAAATAGGAGGGCTACCCTAACTTGCAGGAATAAGTTCTGATAAACTTGAACATACAAAGTAGAAACTGATGTGTGGCCACGGGAATGAGCCTTATAGTAACACCATGTACCAGAGCTTTTTAAATCTCTAGTAATTAGGGGAAAATCATTCCAATAAATGGCTGCAATCCAACAGACTAAGAAAAGAACAAGGTAATTTTTTATTTTGCAACCTGGGGCAGAAATACACCAGACAGGTAGAAATCTAGCTTTAATTCTAGAGCTTTAAGTACCTTTGAAACCACAGCCTGGAGCTTTTTCAAAACTGTAAAACAGGGCCTCCTAGGGGTTAAGTCTCAGTGCTATCACAACTATGCCCGAGTTTGATCCCTGGCCAGGGAGCTGACCCTCATGGCACAGCAGACCTCTCCTGTCTCTCCTGCTGCTCCCCTCCGCAATGTATTTCAGTAGATCTGCCTGTTCTGCTCTCCACTCTGTCTCTGGTGAATCCTCTTACCCACTGCATCTCTGGCTTACACCCTAGTTCTTCTACTCAATAAATAAACCTTTAAAAAAAAAAACTCCCGTATAACAACTCAGTGGGCATCGGCCAAATGACTGACACCAGGACCTGGGCTGGCCATCCACTGGGCAGATGCACTCTGCAAAGCCACTTCGTGAGCAAGGCCACTGTCTGTGGTCCAGGACAGAGAGAGACCAGTCAGCCAATTTATTGTTTGTTTCCTTAAACTGTCAATTGAAGTTTTTGGTATGACTTCCATTCTCTTCTGCTGGGGCTGGAAATTAGGAGGAAGCTGGCCTTAGAATCAGGGGAGACCCAACGGTGAGCTGTGGTTCCCGGAGTTTTAGGAAGCCTGGTCATCTTGTTATAGCAACCGTTACTGGTGGACAGAGACAGGTTAAGGGGAGCAGAAATTATATCAACATTTTTTTTTCCTGTTTCATTAAAATCAAGGCATTTCCACAGAGCTGATCTATGCACATGAACTTCATTTGTTTTGTTCCTGCAAGGGGAAAAAGTGCTTCAAAAAAAAAAAAAAGCTCTGTGGATGCATTACATTCCATCAGCAACAAGCATTGCTTAGACCACATTAGCTTGCTGCTGTCAAAATCATTTCCAAAATCACTCTGCTCTTATTGAGCAGCTAAGAAATCACCTGATGAAGGGATTTTCATGTCTTTCAAAAAAATCTCTTGTAAAGACCCCATTGCCAGAGTGAGTTCCCCTCATATCAGAAATCCATTTTATAAACGGATCCATGTCTCCAGTTCTCTACAGTTAGAGCCAAAAACAAAAATCTCATTCCCCTGAAGAATGATGGCTCTACTTTTGCTTATTATATTCTCTTTTTTCCTCTGGTAAACCAGGAAGCTTAGATGCTCTCTCCCTGCTTCCTTAGGAATGAAGTTGGGCATTATATCCAACCTATAAATAATCCTCCTCTGCCTCTAAGCCCTTGGCTTAATTCAATAATTCTCTCCTGGTTCACTGTCTCCTAGCCACAAAATTCTTAACAATTGACACTGTATCTTATCAAACTTTGTTTCTCTAGCATTTGCCAGAAAAGATTCAGTGTGTCCTTATTAAGTGCTTGTTAACTGGATGGACTTAATTGAATTGATGCTAAAATGTAATCATCTTATCTGGTTCAATTAGGTAATTAGCTCTCTGACTTTGTTATAACAATGTCTTCTAGACAAGTGAACACAAAGCTTGTGATTGGTTAGGTTATAACAAAAAGCTTCTCTCTCTCTCTCTCTCTCTCTCTCTTTTAAGACAGGATTAGAGTAAAAGCAATGGGAAGAAGTTTCAATATTAAGACCAAAAAACAACACTGAATTGCTTAGTCTCCTTTGTATCTATCTCCAAAGAAAAATGATAAAATGAACCAAGATAAAGATGACATTGAAATCTGTAGTAAGTTGAGGGAGTAAAAAGGAAAGCATCCTAACACTGGAATTAAGTTCAAACCTTTATGCCCCCCCAAAGTGGGCCTTAAAACTAAAGAAACATATTGACACGCTATCTGAGCTGTGGTATCTCGGAAATCACAGCTAATAGAAAAGGCATCAAAAGACGAGAGATAAGAAAATGTCACCTTTTTTTTTTTTTTATATCAGGAGAATGCCACATTTTTTTTTAAAGATTTATTTATTTATACATACAAGCACTGGGTACAGTCAGAAGCACGGGAGGGTGAGAGAATTCACCAGAGCCAGAGCGGGGAGCAGAGCAGGCAGAAGGACCGAAGTACACTGCTGAGGGGAGCAGCGGGCGGCAGGAGAGGTCTGCGCGCCATGTGGGACCCTCCTCTGGTGGCCGGGGAGCAGCCGGGGATCGAGCCGGCTCTGCAGAGGCTGCGGGCAGCTTCGCAACCCAGCGCTCAACCGCTGCGCCACCGGGGAGGCCCAGTCACCTTTTTTTTTAAAGAAAAATGGGACCTGTCAAGAAACTAGTAATCTCATAAAAAAATCTAACATTTATTATGTAAAGCAAATAGGATAGAGCAAAGTTCTAATTCCCATTAGTAGTCATAAGTTCACCAAGCCCTAAGAACATGAAATGACCAAGAGACACAGCCACTAGATTGGGCAGCAGCCTCCCCCCGCCCCCAACCCCTGTTCCATCATCTTCCTGAAAGTAAGAAAAATTGCAGGCCCAAAGTCTGCCCAAGGTCTCAATGCCACATACTGGTCCTAGGACCCTGAGGGAGACACCTTCTTCTGACTCAGTATTCTCACCTGCATTTTAGATTTGGGGACTTGACGAGGGTCAAGTCAGATAGCAGCTTAAAGTCAGACAGTTGCAGGTTCCATCAGGACCCCAGTGCCCTCTGTGCCTGACTTTCTTTTGTTTGTTTATGAAATGTGTATAATGTCTACTTTGGCATTCTTATGAAGTTTAAATGATAGTACATAGGTAGAACATCTAGAAAATTATAGACATTTCATTAAAGCTTTATGAATGTTAGTCCCTTCCCTCCAAAGTGCTTATTTTCTTTCTGGCTCTAAAAACTGATTCTCTCAGTTACTGATTTAAAGTTACAGAAAACTATTGCAGCTATCTTCAGTCAGAGAGGTAGAGAAGATTCTTGGGGGAGAAGTGGTTTAGTTGGCAGTCCCTTATGGTTCCCGATGATATGATGCAGAAAGCTGGGCTGAATGTGAGGTCAGGGTGACTAATGTGCACGTGAGCCTGAGGCTGGCCAGATTTATCCCACTTATCCCAGACCCCACCTACTTCAGCATCTGCTCCAGACAAAGGTATTCTGGTTTGGATGATAAACTGTAATGCCAAGCTCATTATACTTTAGAAACCAGAGTGAACGGGGCTCCCTGGTGGCACAAGCAGTTAAGCACCGCACTATGAAGCAATCCGCAGCATCTGTAGCACGAGTTCAATCCCCGACCAGCCAGGGAGCAACCCACATGGCACAGCAGACCTCTCCTGTCTCGCCCGCTGCTCCCTCAGCAGTGTATTTCAGTCAGTCTGCCTGTTCTGTTCCCCACTCTGTCTCTGGTGAATCCTCTCACCCCCTCATCTCTGGTCTGTACCCCAGGTCTTGTATGCATGAATAAATAGATCTTTAAAAAAAAAAGAAAAGAAACCAGAGTAATCAGGGAGACTCACTGAATTTTTAGCTGCCTAAAGGACTAAAACCAGAACATTTCCAGAAGCAGATCAGCAGATGAACCAAAGAACAGTGATTCACCATCTTTCTTTCTCCTTTCCATCTCTTTTGCAAATCATCCCCATCTATGACAGGTAGTCACTTTACCTCAAGTGTCTGATAAGAGCCCCACTGGGCTCTCAACCCCCAGAAGAACCCCTCACTAGGGGTACACCATAAACCTCTGTTCCTAGTCCTGTCAATATTTTCAGTGACCTGATTGAAGACGTAGAAGGCACACTTCTCAGTTTTGAAAAAGATAAAGCTCGCAAGAATACTAAGATTAGAGAGAACAAATGACCAAGGCTCAATAATTATATCATGAACTGAAACAACAGACCAAAAGCAAATCACATAAAATGTGGACATACATTTAAAGACATGTATTTAGATTTTTTAAAACTATTCAAGGATGGGATATGGGAAATATAGCTCAACAACAAACCCTGATGAAAACACTTGGCAGTTTTAGCAGAACACAAACACCAACCGCTAGAAAGGTAAACACAATCCTCAGTGAATATTTAAAAGCCAAACATGAGGCTGGACTGACAGGATTGGGGGCTGAGTTGGTGGGTGGTATGGACCCAGGCTAAGCCGACCTGGGGATCACACAGGAGTTTCTCTGCCCAACCCAGAGTCTCTGTGCCCAGAGTCTCTGTGCCTGAGTTAGGACTGGCCTGTGAAGGGAGAGGCCTGAACCAGTGTGGCAGTGCTGGCATGGCTGATAACTGAAAGCATGGTGCTGAGCTCTGCAGAGAATAAGAAAGACAAGTCCAAGGAGGCCTAAGATTAGCCTCCAGTTATTTCCATGGCTGCCACATAGCAGACATGGACTTGTTCCAAAAGAGAACTAGGGACTGATTTGACAAAATTCAATTGTGGATTCATATATAATGAGATCTCATAATGGCCGCTGACCACACAAGGCACTTGCGACCCCACAATGCAGTGAGGTTACCATCTTTGGGAGCACTCCAACAATGGCTCCAGCATTTATTAGGGCAATAAAGGCTTGGGGGTTCCTCAGAGCTGGATGTTGTTCTATTCTTTCACTGAGCCAATAACTCTCAAGTCTACCATGTGAGCTGCAGAGCTAGCTGACCCCAGATTTCTTTCTTCGGTGATTCTATTAAAATACAGTTTGGGCTAACTGCCCCTAAAAGACATGATTCTGATTTCTCTTTCATGAGGCTAATGGCAGCAGTGAGGGAAATGAATGCCAATGAAACCTGTCCTCAGGCCATGCACATGGGGAGAAGGAAAGAATGATTTGCTATGAACTGAATGAAGATGGGCAACCTCTCACTTGAGTGCCCATTCAGCCTCTCACCTGAGTGCCTGCATTTGGCAGTTTGATATTGTCTGTGGCAGCAATTACATCAATGGAAGCCCGCACAAGAATGTCCAAGTAGTTCATTTTGGAATATTCCTGTTTTGAGACAAAATCAGGAAATGCATGAGGGAGTGACACATGCTCTCGGAGATGGCAAATGACTTGTAAGGGACAGTCTCACGCAGGGCCACACCTCCAGAAACGTGCTGTTCCATAACCTGGAGCGCAGAACCACAGAGGCCTTGCTGTCCAGCCCCCGCAGTGGGCACTTGATGGTCACACAGTTCACGTTCACAGTACAGTTCTGGATAGAAAAGGAAAAGCAGTAGTTACAATGCAACAGTATGGGGAAGACCTACTCCCATCCTCTGTCAAGAATTCACAGCTCTCAAAATAGTACTTACAAGGGTCTGGTATTTTCTTTCAGAAAATAAAGAAAATTTTCTGATATCATCTATCTGTTTTTCAGCAATTTCCCGTTTTTTTCTTGTGTTGTGAGACTCCTGAAAAGAATTATATCCGAAACAGTTCTACTTAATGTAATTTTGTCACTTCTATACAAATCTCTTGCACATAACCTCTAAAATGTCACATTCACATAATCAATAATTAATATTCACCCTTTATCCATCACCAAAAGTGCATAAATAATTTAAGTCTAAAATCAGCAAGTGTTATTACAAAGCTCACTTCAACTTCACTATAGTAATTTATCCCCATCTTTGACCTTAACACTCAGGGAAAAAGAAAGGTGCTTTCTTTGGTCCAGTGTCACCCCACCAAACTATGAGCATCCTGAGATCAGGCCATCAGATCTCAGTCACTGTACCCCCAGCTCAGCACCCAACATATGGTTTAAAAAAAAAAAGTCAGCACACATCTTCAATTCAAGTGACAGTAAGAACAGGGAAAGAGGCAAAAAGAACTAGCTTATGTGACTTACTCAAAATAGAGTACTGAAAACTAAATCACATAAGATGTTTTAAAATTACATTTTCCTTAAAATAAGGATTATAAATAATAGGTCACCTTGTTTTTCAAAGATGATGGCTAGAGGATCATATCTATCCATGCTACTTTGTCACTAACTGTGAAGTAGTCACTATCACTACATGATCATACTAGTCAGCTTAGAATTTAAAATAAAAGAAACAGACATGTAACAACAAAGCAAATCTTCATCAAACTGGAGCATAAATGATAAGCCAGTTACATAAGCATGGAGCAGTAGAGTCCAGGCAGAGCTGCAATTGAATGCAGAATCTGTCTCTTCACTTCTAAGTGATTCCAAGCTAGTTAGTGTCTCCGAAGCTCACTTTTTTTCATCTCAGAAATGCTAGGGATATGAAAAATACCTCATAGGACTATCAGGAGAATGAAATAAGCGATGTGGTGAGCAAGCGAAGAGCTTACCACAGTGCCTGAGACACAGTAAGTACTCAAATATGTACCATTAAAAAAATAATAATGAAAAGCTTTCAATGTCACTTGCTAAAAGGTCCCAGCATCTTCTGTAATGAGCTAGATTTCCTGGGAGTTAATATTTGGCTGGCCCACCCCCAAGAGCACAGTGCATTCCTCCTATGTCATAGCAGATCATAAAACTTAAAAAAAAAAAAAAGTCATTTATTTCAAGAAGCACTGAATAACCTTGACTTAGGTGCCATAATGGCTGCTAATCAGAATTCCTCTCTGACTTGATTCATTGAGTAATAAAAGATAAAGTGTCTCCCAAAGAAAACATAGAGGAATATTAGTTTCCTGACAACAGCAATGATTTTTTCTCCTTCAAAGTTAGCTTCTCCTATTTATATATATGGAGACATGAGGTAAAAATCTGCCAACATACCTTTAACTTCAGGAGGTTTATTTCACTTTGTGGCTCACAAGCTATCTTTTCCAACCCTGTGGATTCTACTTTCACCAAGTAAAGCAACCATTTGCCATTGCTAATTTCTTTTGGCCACTGTATATTCAAGGTTGCTGTGCCGAGTCTTTTAAGAGGTTTGCCTAAGTTAATTACCTGTTAGAAAATAATATGATTATCTCAGTGTAATACTCTTAATGTAAAATTAAGCAACAGTTCCTATTGCCAAGAGAAAAAATGTCAAAATATCTGGCATAAAGCTATAATGAAAGCACAGCCTCCAAAAATGGACTATAGAAAGAGTATATAAAATAAAGATTTGTGCTTAAATATACTTGTCAATAAAAAAGTAAGGGGGAATAAAGGTCAATGTGAACCAGTTGCTCAGTCAGCCCAGGAGTAACTGCTGTGAGCAGGAGGATTTGCAGTGTAGATCCGCTGTGCTCCCAACATGCTCAGGTCACATCTGTGAAGTGCTCTGTGACCTCCTGTGTGGCCGATGACCAAGCCTGTGCCAGCAGGGTACCAGCAACCTGCTCCTGAGAAACCCTACACACTTTGAAAATGAAGCTGCTTTTGTGCTCTCTACCCAGGGGAGACTGGGGACAACAACTGAGAGATTCTGCGTAAAACCATTACAGGAGCCATGAAAATGTGATGCTAACCTGGAGACAGAGTAATTTCCTGCAGCAGAAGGCAAAAGAGATAAGGACTCTGTGTGGAGGACTGCTCTGGCACCCACAGCCTTGTCTTTCAGCCACACTTTTTTCAGGCATCATGAACACCATCACTACCTGTGACAGCTGTGTTTGTGATGCTAAGGGACACACAGACGAGAATTCAGTCTCTCCTCCTGCTGGAGTCACGTGAGCCTCTTCTTGCCATTTTAGACTTTCAACCTCAACAGTCAGTATTTAGGAACATGATTTGAGGTTACAGGGCTTGAACTCATGAGTGAGTTACAAGTCAAATGTGTACTATGCATTTATGTATGTTCAAGTGGTCTTAAGAGTGCTTGTAAATCAGGACAGCCATTTTAGAAAGCAGTATGGAGATTCCCCAAAATATTAAAAATTGAAATTCCACATGATCCAATTATCTCACTTCTGTGTATTTACCCAAAGAATATGCAATATTAATTCAAAGAGATGACATGCACTCCCATGTTCTTTGGAGTGTTATTTATAATAGTGGAGAGCTGGAAACACCTAAAAGCCCACTGACAGACAAATGGATAAAAATGTGCTATATCTGTATATCTATATCATATATATATATATATATGATATATATATATACACACACACACAATGAAATACAACTCAGCCATAAAACAAGATGAAATCCTCCCATTTTCAAAACGTAGATGGACTTGAGGGACTTATGCTTAGTGAAGTTAAATGAAGAAAGTCAAACACCCTATGATTTCACTCACATGTGGTACATAAAAAATGAACTAAATAAAAAATAAACAAATTGGGTTTATGAAAGGTAAGAGAACATTAATCACAAACTTTAAGAGAAATGACCTTACGAAAGAGGAAGAAATCAACCATAACACACTCTAAAGTCAAATATCAGTTGCTTTGAGATTTTATTTGTTTTATGGCTCTGGGAGGGGGGAGCCAAGTGCTGTTACTCTGTCTCCACACTGCATATATATACACATTCTTTAATAAGAAAAAAGACCAAACAGAAGTGGACTTGAACAAAGATTTATATTGAATGTGTAAAGAACATACTATAATATTTTTGTGGACATTTATCATAATTATATTACTGATTAAAATTACATATTCAAGATAATATATAGTATATGTTACCTCTGGTATATTTAGTAAACGGGCCAACTGCTCCAACTTACCCTGAATTCATACTCTATTAAACTTCCCACTTCATCTTCAGATGTCATAGCTTGCTCACCAACAACTGTACCTCCAAAATACACCTGGGAAGGTTTAGCAACTCTGTTAAATTAAAAAACACCAGTTTTAGTGAGGATTATAAATGGTCCTTTCAAAAACTGATTTGTTATGCTAAATACAAACACTTACCCAGAGACCGATAAAAGCAGTTCAATAACCACTTTTGCTCTAGCTGTAATTGAAGCCAAATTATCTTGATTGCTTGTTCTGAAAATGAAAAGGAAACAATAGGGTTTTATTTTAACAGTCAGTTCTCTCATTACAATTACACTTCTTTTATGATTTAGATCAGGGCCAATTCATCGACTGCTATGTTTTCATGAAATAATTCTGAATGGAAAGGTTGAAGTAACTCACGTTTCCAATTTCAGATTAATATCCAGATCTGTGGTGTCAAAGGTGACTTCAGTTGTACTTAAAATCAAATAAAAAGTGACCTAAAAAGTAGATATACCCGTTAGCACAGGTCATGCATAGCAACACTGTAATGGTATTTAAAACAGTCAAAGACAATATTTGGCGGCATCACCTACACTGGAATTTCTTTTAAAAGGGTTTCCAAGCTCACAGTCAACTTGTGAGCCATTCTGGTTGGCAACACAGCTCAACTGTTTCTCCTGTAACAGGAAAGCACACTAAGTCATAATGTGTCCACTTAGCACGCTGTTGGTTTTCCCTCCCGCCTGGTTTCTAAAGCACTTACAGGGAAAGATCTCAGTTCCCTATGTGCAGAATACGTCAAGGTATCTGGAAACGTTGCAATGAGTTTAGCTTCGTGAGCATCATCACCATCCTTTGTGGGATCTGCTGCATTGGAAGGGCTGTTTGTCACGGTTATTTCTAAGGCAATGTCCTTCTGATCTTTCAGAACTAGTTCAGGTACACCTTTATGACTATAAAAAACACACACCAAAAAAAAGGAAAATGACTGAGTCCTGAAAACATTTCAAAAAGCCACTGCAAACCCAGTCATATTTGCTAGTGCTACAGAGTGAATCTTACATTGGTAAATAAGAAAACTTGTCTTGATTTGCTTCTCGAGTACAAAATTTGTATTCTAGTTTAAGGTTGCTGTTACATACATTGTCATCTCCACATCCCTCTTTTAAGAAGTGCACCTGTAGGAAAATAAAATGAGGGTAATTTGTGCCACTTAGGTCTCAGAAAGGCATCTAAATAGGTAACTGGCTGTTTCCATACAGTTCATTTCCCTGTGTGACAATAACCATAGTAAAAGTTGAGCTCCCAAAAATACTCTGCCATGTATCTAATCCCACTCTGCCCTTTTACAACTTGTTTTAGGAACTTTGTGGCCAGGGCATGGAACTAGGGTGGTGAAGCAGTGTGAGCTGGTAGCCACACACATCTATGTTCCAAACCTGAACCTGACATTCACTTAGCTGTGTGGCTCTGGGAAATTCACTTAACCTTCAGAGTCTGAATTTCCTCATAGGAATATGGGGATGGGCCTCCCCAGTGGCGCAGTGGTTGAGCGCTGGGCTGCGAAGCTGCCCGCAGCCTCTGCAGCACCAGTTCAATCCCCAGCTGCCGGCAAGGGTCCCACATGGCGCACAGACCTCTCCCACTGCGCCTGCTGCTCCCCTCAGCAGGGTACCTCGTCAGTCTGCCTGCTCTGCTCCCCGCTCTGGTGAATTCTCTCACCCTCCCGCGCTTCTGACTGTACCCAGTACTTGTATAAATAAATAAATTTTTTAAAAAAGGAATATGGGGATACCACCACCCTACCCTACGGATTACTGTAAAAATGACCAGTAATAATAATGATGCTACTTTAAGACATGATTATATATTTTGACTCACTTAACCTTCACAAAAGTCCTATGAGGAAGATACTATTATTAGCCCTGTTATACAGATTAGAAAAACAAGTTTAAAGTCAAGAAATCAAATGGCATAGTGTACCTATCTAGCACAGTGCCAAATGAGAGCTTGATAATCTCACTGAGAAATAATTTCCTGTTATGTTTAACATGGCTACCGAGCTGGGAATACAGACAAATATTCATGTGATAATGACATCAGAAGTATAAAAAATATAAGGGACTATTATTAGTGACAATTAAAACTGACAATGTGTGAGGCACCAGTTTCTAACCTTAATGCAAGTGTCACTTCTGAAAAGCAGTGGCCAGCAGAACCAGAAGACTCACTGGGGACACTCCGGCATCAATTGCATTTTGATATCAAGTGCATCACACCAAATCAATGTCACAGATCCCCAGTCTAATAGTACATCTCATCCTAAATCTTGCAGATAGACCCTACCACCTTCTGTGAGATATACAGAAAGCCATATAATATAGATTTCCTTTCCTAAGATTGCCTTGGCTACAACAGGTGATAAATAACTATTTCATTGCTGATATTTATTTGCCTTGATGAATTTTTGTATTTGTTGATTTTAGTGTTCAGATTAACAACAGTTTGGTTTCTACTTTAATTATCTCAGTTGTAGAATGCCATATATTTTTCTCTCTACACACATCTAAAGGAGTAACTTGATGTGAGACTAATAAGCTCTGCCAATTACAGTCTCAACAAATAGCACCAACCAAAAATCATGAAGAAAATACTCTGGTTTCAAATTCTATTCTATAGTCATTGCGAACTTGGGAAACAAATCTTCTCAATTTTTGCATATATTTTAAGGAGCATATTTAGTACAAAGGGATGGACTTTAAAGCCAATCACTAGTTCTACTGCCTTCAAGCACATCTGATTCAAAATAATAATGTGGTAAAAATTTTGGCAAAACAAAAAAAGTCAGAAAGTCTTACATCTGTCTGCACTGTCTTGGGCTCGTTTGAATTCAGAATTGGAAGAACTTCTGGAAGTGAATTCACTCTCCTCCGAGCATTTGACTCCTGGATCTCCACTGAAGCAGTTATGGGAATGGGACGCAGTTTATCTCTGATATTTTCCTGAAGAGTATGTGGAGATATAGTTAAACATGGTATAAATGCTACTGAGGAACTCCAAAGCCATGTTTCATTTTTTATTGAACAAAGGTTGCTAGCATTAATTTCAAGTATGCACATATGAGCCATAAAACCCAACTTCTGTCCCCTTAAAAAAAAGGGAATTGACTTTAGCCTTCACCTGTAGCCAGAGGGTTTCTTCCATGCATGCCTTCTGCTTCTGCCTGGTCAGAGTTAGTTCTTTAGTGTATTTGGACTCAGAGCCATAGTTTTGAAAATGAACTCGTGAAGACAGCCCAGATTTCCTTCTTTCCTTTTCAGCCTCAAGTGTGCCCACAATAGCTAGACAGAGAAAACAAAAAACATTTATCTTCATATTTCCTAATCATGTACTTGTTGACTGATTTATGATGTTTGAAATCAAGCTGTCCTTCCCTGCTCATTGCTATTACCAATGCTCTGAAGGCAAATTTTCATTGGGCCACCTGGGGGAGCTCGAGAATAAGTCAAAACCTCTGAGCAGCACAGACGATTCAGTTTCTGGCTTACAGAATATTAAGGATATTAAGGATAACAGAAGGGGATCAATACTCTCTAAGGGCCTAAACTGCCTTTTCCCCTCAAGCAGTCCGATGTTTGAATGGTCTAGTGCTTGAAATTCAAAGCAGGTTTCTAGAGCCAGCAGCTCCTGAGGTGATAAAAATGCAGACCAGGTCCTAGCTAACCTACAGAAGCAGAATCTGCACTTTAACAGAATCACTATATGGTTCTTATACACATTAGGAAGCACTGATAAAGGACAATTGTCTAAAAGAGTAATAATATTAGAAAAATGTGGACAACAGGATGAGACTTGTCACTCCAAAAAAAAAAAAGGTAAAACATTCCTTTTAGCAGCTTTGGGCCCATTTGTTCACAAATATAGCTCCCACAAGCAGAGTTCCAACCTTAAGGCCTAGAAGGCACCTCATGATCCTGATTACCTACACTAGTGGAGATTGGAGGTGAGCCAGGATTGGGATTATCAAAATCTCATTTTTGACTTCAGAATGCTTTCTTTGTTGTTCACTGGAGGTAGCTGCTAACGATGTTTTTTAATGGGCCAATACTTAAATTACTTACATTCATTAATCACTCACTAATCATCAGAAAGGAGAACAAACCAAAGGGCATAGAGGGCCAGAGAAGGCAGGCTCAAGGGGAAAAAAATATCTGCTCCAGAAAACAGAAAATGAACAAACCAGGTCCTAATATTCACACTAGATTTGGAAGAGACCTCTTGAAAACATCCATTTTAATACAGTCTTCTTGTAGATGAAAAAATGGAGCTCCATAGAAGTAGGTGACTGGCTTAAGGCCATACAGTGAGGGACAGAGGCAGTGCCAGCTTCCAAGTCGCTGTCATAATCACAGAAGAAGACGCTTTATAAAGTCTCTTCAATGCTGACATTCCTGCTTGCTTTAGCCTCTGCATGAGTCACTCTCTCCCTCTGCCAGCTGGAACCTCTTCCTTCTCCTATCTCCCCCTGACTAGCTAACTCTGTTCCTTTCAGGTTTCAGCATGGACATCACTACCCCCAGGAACCTTCCTGAGCAACCTCCTGGGGGGACCCAGGGTATTCCATTTCTCCAATCAGTACACCTAGCCAACTGTGCTAAGCCATGGACAGGGACCTCAGCGGCTGTTCATCACCATATTCCCAGTAGCAGCACAACACCCGAGAGCGATATGATTTGAAGACGAGCGATATGATTTGTAGACTCCTGATCAGAAGCAGGAATGACCGGCAGCACATCAACTTACAGATCAATGCATATTTGTACACACACACATATGCATGCGTGTGCACGCGCGCACACACTCACACAAGCATTAAGGTATTCCTAGGTGAAACGATAGCTATTCAGATGTATAAGACCAAAATTTAGAAACACTGACAGTTTCAGTAGTAATTTCTGTGTCCATCTGAAGAATTCTTAAATGTCATGGCTGCCAAATGGAACACTCCTCCATCTTAGGCCCTCTGTAGCCTTGACATCATCCATTTAACAGTGACCTGCTAACTTCACCATGAACCAGACGAAGGCTCACATGCTGAGTGCCCCTCTCGGCAAAAGTAAGGGAGGGTGTGGGTGCATTAAAACCGTTTATCTACCAAACCCACTCTAACCTTCCCTAACCCTCCAGACAGTTCACATCATCTTAAAATCCTTGCAGGCCACCTTTGCTGACCTTTTGAGGGGCAAGCCAAGTAGAATACTCATTAAGGCTCAATTATAAATATCTGTATGTATGAAACACCACACTGAATTAAAATGGCCTGGTCAAACAATAAGCTCACATTCTCAGACACTGGGAACAGATTTTCCATGTATTAACTTATGCAGCTTTGTGGAAGTTCTGTTTAATTTTATTTAGAATTTCCCAATAGAGTGGAAGTTCAGGTAATGAAAACAGGTTTTCTCTAAATGTCTTCAGAGATAAAAGTTCCATCCATATCAGACCATCAATAAACACTTGATTAACAGCAGTCACATAATATAAAAATCAACACATGTACTGTAAGCACATAATTAAAGCTAGAAGAAAGTTTGTGATTTATTTCAAATAATGATTTCAGGGGAGACAAGGAACACTCACAATTGCGATGAGACTGCACGTCTGTAGTCAGACTGAGAATGGTTTGAGACAATGACAGACTAATAGAATAAAAATGTTTTTCCATTTCCTCTCTGTGCCTAGTCCGAGAATCACTTTACCCTTGTCCTACAGTTCACTTCCTAACACAATTGCAAAAGGCCAGGCATCCAAGTGGACAGATGTAAGATTACATTTGGGTAAAAATAACACAATCAGCCCTGAAAGGAAGACAGATCCCGAGAAGTCATAGAAGGTATCTACTCATCATTGAAAGCCACACAAAGAACTGTTTTCTATACTATAAGATGCCAGCTGTGTCAAAAAGCAAAGTGAAAGGCCACCATGCGCTCTATGTACCGCGTTCTAATACAAGACCCAAAGCACAGTTTGCAGACCCCCTGAGGGAGGCCGCACAGGAGAGGGCCCAGGAGAAGGCACCTGAAGAAGGTCAGGGGGAGGAAGAAACCACCCAAGGACAGTCTGAATCTCAGGGTGATAAAGGTTAAGTGGGTCTAATACAGTGTAAATGGGATGAAGGGAGGCTTATTTGCCAAATGTTGAGATAGTCAAAGGGACATCATTTAAATAAACAAGGGGAAACCTTAAAGAGAACCCAGTACCTCCAGGTAGAGAAAAACCTGGGAAATTCTTAAAGGACAGAACCACTTTGTCCCTCAAAAAAGCAAAGCTGCCTGAAAAATGACCACAGCCTTACCCAGACTGCAATTCACCCTCCCGGTCTTTGCACTTCCTCTTTGAAGTAAGGTTTATTTTAAATTCCCATGCCCCATTTTCACTCTGGGCACATGGCTCACACCTGAAGAGGTGTGGCTGGAAATAAAACTTACCAGAGAATGTCTTGGTCATAATCAGTACTATTAGAGTATCATTAGCCCTCAGCCCTGTCAAAATTTGTGGCAAAATCCTGTTTGAATAATAAAGAAGCAAAGCAGAATAATACCTTATAAATGACAAACTGCTTTCACCACATTATTTCATGTAGTTTCCCATCACAATCCTACTAGAGGCAATTTTTTGCTGATGTGAAAATAAAAGTTCAAATTCTAAGAGACATGCTTTTGCTACGTTGTAGGGTTTCAGTCTACACCAAAGCTGGAAGCAGGCGCTGAGCCCAAGTGTCTGAATGGCCAGGGCCAGACTTCAAACCCTCTCAGGGGCCTGCACTCAGGCACACAGGCTGGGGGTTCTGGGCCACAGAGGCCCCTCTTGGAGGGCACCAGAGAGAAAGGAAAGTATAAACTGGCGATTATTCTGTGCAGTACTCCGGCTCCCGCAGTCACCCAGCTACAACCACCACCCACCACCTTACAACCACAAAACCAACTTTCCACACTGCTTTTCAAAGACAGAAATAGAGGAAATGATTGTGGTAACAAATGAGCCCTTTTCCACGGCAGTCTCTCCTAAACCATCTGCTCTGGAAAATTCAAATGGGGACCAAATGGAGAGTTTTCCCTCATGTGCTGTTTTCTCCTGATTAAAGAGAAGACAGACACACTTAATTCTTTAAATAAGAATTTGTGGCCACTTTGGTCATTGCAGTTTTATTTTTGTTATTTATGCAGAACTCTCAACCTGGCAGACAGAAAAATAAAATGTTTTTAATGTAGAGGTACTTACTTATTGAAGGATTATAACCAGTGGGTTTGGCAGTATATTCAAAACAGGCCTTAACCTTGAGGCTGTATAAAATCAAACACATATTTCTTGAAAGATGCATTATTACAGTAGATAAAAAATAAATATGTTTCCCAGCTTTCAAATACCCCCACTGCCCACTGGTGAGTAAAATGCTGGATAGTCACTTAACAGATTCCCCTTTTTCCTTTGCCCATTTTTCTCTTAATCTTCCCTGTGTCTCCTCATGGCAACAGGGTCAGCACAAAGAAGAGGTGTAAAAGCGACGGGATCACCAGAACACAGCTGAAATGCTCACCATATCCCACTTGGGGCCCGGCAGGATGTCTTCTGGTGGAGGTCAATTCTGTTAGGTGTCACAGTGACAGTCTTCTGAATATTAATCACGGGCCGGGATCTAAAGACAAAGGAGTAAAATCCCAGCTCAGCTTTTTGCCACTTTGACTATATAAGAGGAATTTCATATCCTAGACAGCATCTTAAAAACCACAGGGGACAAAATGTTCCCATGTGATTGCCCCCTGCAATGTTAAAGAAAATGACTGTTAACAATAATAATTTTAAAACTAATTATATGGTAGATATTAGAAGTGTTTAATATAACATGTATTTAAAAATATAAGATATTTTGTAGTTTCAATATTTGAGTTTTGAAATTGAAAGTGTATTATCTGTAATACGTAAAAAATTCGTTTGTGGGCAAATATTATGTCCCTGTCACCAAACTCCCATAGCCTTGTATATCCTTCCGGATATATATAAGTCTGTGTTTATGTTAAAAATATCGACAATTATATATAAAAATACACATATAATTTTTCAATGTAAGCTTTTTATGCATATTGTTTGCATTTTTCCCTCACTTGTTAATATTTCAGAGGTCTTATATCAATTCAGAGGAACCTCATTGTTTTTTACAGCTTTGTATTGCACCATACCAATGTAATATCATTTACATAATCAGTCCCTAATCAGTAGACATTTATATCATTTTTAGGCTTTCTGCTCTTGTACATATACACAGGCATCCTGTGTACACACTCCTTACACACCTAGGCATCCTGTGTACATACACCTATCTAAAATGTAGGAGGAATTTCTAGAATTTTTGAGTCAAAGGATATCTGTAGTTTTACCAAAATGTCCTCCATAATAGATATATAAACCTGAACCCATAAAATACTTAAAGAACAGGGAGAGAGAAAAGGCAGTAGGGATTTGGAAATAGAAAGGACACCAGTACTGGAACTTTGGTGGAGGGTGAGTGAAGTATGTGCACACACGGAGGGGTGAAGTAGACTCTCAAAATTATATAGTCAGGTAAACAACTGCCAAATAATAATGCGATAATAAAAAATCAAACAAACCAAAAAGCAAAACACTCTCCAAAGAGGTCACACTAATACCTATCTAACACCTGGATGCTCACCATCAGGATTTCTACCAACAATGAACTTCAGTAATGCAGGTCATCCGAATGTGTCCATCTCACAGACCTGTATGCTCCCTAGCCCCCCCTCAGAATTTCCCATTCCCGACATGAAGTCATTGTCCTCTCACTGTTAGAACTGACTAACTGCACCCCTCAATGTCTCTATAAGCAAAAACTTAACCCTTAACTCTTCCTAGCTACATTCTGCCAGACCTCAACTAACCTCTCAAATACTCAAAAAGTTGGAATTACTCATCTTTAACCTTTCTTACCATTTAAAAACATCTTTGCTCTCCCTTACATATATTATTGCCTACTCCCCACAGCCAAAAGGGTCACAGTGGGCCTTTAGCCTAACTCCTGCCAAAGTCAAAAAAAAGTAAGTCTGTAGTGGCTGGGGTGAGTGTGGAATGGGGGAGATTGCACTTCTCTCTCAGGCACTCCTCAGCCAGAACTCAACGGGTTCTGTGGTTTTAGGACCACACGGATTCAGTTAGACTGACTGCAGTGGGCTTGAGATAAAACTGGCCATTCTAGAGAAGTGTTTCTATATAGGAAAACCGCACTCCAAATCCCAAATCCCTAGCTAGCTTGAACTTCTGGAATCAATCAGTAAGCAGTAAGGGCACAAGTACATGCATGTGTTCTCAGGAAAATGTAGGCCATAAGAGAGCAAATGCTGCCCACATTCCTTCTTTTTCCTTCATTTCAAATATTTACCTTTCTATTGTTATTTTACATGTAAACTGCTCCTAGTTTCTAAGATACTAACTAGACACATTCTTAACATTTTAAGAGTATATTTAAAAGGCAAAAATTCAGAAATATTTTAAACCTGTCGTTACCTATACTGGAGTGTTTTACATATCATGACATTAATGCCATTGCGTGGCATAAATCTCAAAAGGAAACACTAATACACTAATAATGGGGTCTGCTTAGACCCCATTTTTATTTGCTTTTAGGCACTCTACATATACACACAATTTTGAGTGCACAGTACAAATGAATCATGAAAAATATGCTTTAACTCATAATGACTCAGCGGTCTTTTTTATTTACTTACTAACTTTATTTATTTACTAACTACCCCAAAGTCTAGTATGTTTTAATGGGAAAAACTAAAAAAAACTAGGATTTCCTAGGACAGCAGCTGGGATCCTATTCTAGTAGGATGCAGGCTTAAAAGTTCAAGCAAGTCCTGGGCTTCCATTTCTTCATGTGCAAAACAAGGGAGTTGGTCCTTTTGAAGTTTACTTGTACATGATTAATAAGGAGGAAAAAGTTTACAGGGTTCACAGCCAACCCACTCATAACGATAGGAAGTAAAGAATATTAAAATAGCAATTACACACAGAGGCAAATATTCAACTGATTAAAGATGTGCTATCTGTTGGAGAAAATTAGTAAGTAAATTCTGGTATAAGAAGTCAAGTCTTGACACTGGAGGGTCACATTTCAAGATAGAACTATAAGTTCAAATGCTTTTTGATGGAAAACTTGCTAAAATAATTAAATGCTATATACTCTTCTATCTTTTGAAAATGTTTTCTATTTTAAGGCTAATACATATATAAACAGAGAGGAATAGGCAAAAGCACTATTTGTGGAACACCAGATAGAAAATAATCTGAATCTTTATTTAACTTAGGAAGGTACACAGTGTGACAGCTCAGGAGATAGGCTAGTTTCCAGGACTAATACTTATCAACTCCAACACAAACCACTACTGGTCTATCATTTTTTCCTTAGCTCTTTTCCCAACCATGCACATGTTATTTAGTTAACTTTATTTTTTTCACTTTTTCCTCTGATCTCACTCATCCCAGATAAGTTTTTTCCCACTTATTTTCACTTGTTCTACTTTCACATCTAGGTATTATAAAATGACAAGGTTATAAGACAGTATGTACATCCTGGCCTCAATTATGCTAAATAAATATATACATTCACAGAAAGTAAAAACTAGAAGGATATAAACCCAAATTTGGAGTTTAATAATAAATGATGCTAACAGGGAAAATTTATTTCTCTCCACATAGTCTTTATACTGTCAAATTTTGTTTTTATCAAAATAAGTTTTAAAAATATATCTATGAAGTAAAAATTTGTACCAATTCTGATCTATCTTTTCCTCTGTTCAAAATTAGCAAATTTTATAAAATCTTTATACTATTACACCACTTATTTTCAAAAGAAAAATCTTCAAAATTCACACAAGCCCTTGCCTGTGAAGCACAGACATTATACATTTCAATTCAAAGGGTCAACATTTTAGTGTAACCTCACTGCTGAACACGCTTAACCAAAGTCAAAGGCAACGCACCTGAAAACAGTTACTGAGTCTGAGAGGGAACCAACAGCAACATCAGGGTAGGAATTTCTATCAAGGTCCATATTTCCAGCAATTGAATATCCAAAATAAGGCGTTTTACCCTCGAGAACCTGAAATAAACAAGTCAACAAGATGGACACATACAAGTTTCTTTTACACTGACACTGACATTTAAGATTTCACTCATAAATAAGTTATAATAAACTATAAGCAAATTATAAACATGTGATCCAACACTTCAGACATTTTATATCTTAAAAACAATCTAATTTATATTGCATCTCAAAGGATAAAAAAAAATCCATTTTGATGCACTAGTTCACTACATTAAGTCAGAGTTTTTCCAAAACATTTTTTTCTATCTTCCCTCCAAATGTCTTATTCTCAAAAACAAGGTTTAATTTTTGGTGTTAAGTTCACCACGCAGTTACAATACTCTCTTCCATTTGTCCAGTATCATCTACTTTAACATGTTACTAAAGGAAATTTATCACATTTCCATCAACTTAAGCTGTCAGGGTAGCATAATTTCTTTGGAATACCTTGATTCCTAACTTATCTGAGAAATATTTCAATTAAAACAGACAGGCTGTTGCATTTATATCTATGTCCAAGCTATTTTCTAATAATGTTTTTAAAAGACACAAAATTCATACTATTGTAGATTTATTAGTAAAAAATGATTTGTGTGAAACTTCACATAAGCCTAAATAGTCAATCAAAAGGCAAAAAGCTGAGACTGCTATTGCAGAAATCCAGGTTACTTAGTTACCTGCGTAGGTTTGGTGTTGATTCCACTCGCAGACCCGTGATAGATAAATACCTTTCCCATGTCATCATAGGGAGCACCAACTGCAATATCTGTTAACAACATCACATTTTAACAAGCATCACATATTTAAAACATTCCAATACAACATTTTAAAATAAGATGCATAACACTCACTATTGCAGATAATCAAGCAATCTATAAATATCATAACCATCTCACAGTCTGCTACGTACCTGGGTAGCCATCTTGATTAATATCCCCAATATTTTTGACAGCAATGCCAAACATAGAATCTTTAGTTCCATTAAGACGGATTGGCTTGACATTTTTCCACCTGCCTTGCTGGTTAATGTAGATATAGACTGCACCTCCAACTTCTCCATCTCTATCAAAATACTGTGGGGCTCCCACAATTAGATCTTGCCACCTAAAAACAATGATGGGAAGAACTGAACCACCAGCTAAAGTATCAGTGAGCTTAGAGGAAATATCACTAGCCCAGGTATTAAGAACATAAAAGAGAGATAATAGAAAGGACCGCAAATCTGGAATTGACATCTTATAAACTACAATTTTTTTTTTAATTTTAAAACTACAACATTTTTAAAAACTAAAGAGGCCTATAATAAGTTGCCCAAAGTAAGATACTGAAGAACTAGAAGTCAGTTTTCCAAGTTAGAACTACAGTGCAGAGAGAATCTCAGTAAAGACCCTCCCCTCCCACCTCAATTGGCATCACACATTTACGTTGTGACTTTGCCACTCATACCTACTTTTAACACAAGAGTCTGGATGCTCCAACAGTCCCTTAAGAAGCCACAGAACAGAACCATATAGGTGTCATTTTTCAAGTAATTCCACCCCCACTTTAATTCTCACAGACCTATGATGCCAAGACAGCAATAAAAACTAAAAACTGAAGGTACAATCCTGAAGCCTGGGCAAGATGATGAGCGTCTACTGTCAAAGTAGAAGTGATAAAAACACAATGGCATGGTGGAAACCTGGCAGCAAAAACAGTCTTTGAATCAACTAATCTGAAAGAATGGCTTTTCTCAAGACCTACAGAAACCAAAACTGCAATGACATCTTTGTAAATATAAGATAATATGGGATACTTACCCATCTTTGTTAAGGTCCGCCACTGCCACGTCATAGCCAAATGAAGAGGCCAGACCTTCCCCATCAAATATGTGCTCAGGGAGAAGATGTGCAGACTTTTGGTCTCTTTTTAGCAAAACCACAGCTCCACTGTGATTGGCCCTTGGAGCACCAGATACAAAAGTAATCTCATCTTTAGAAACAATACCTTTCCCTGAATCCAAAGAAAAGCCTAGAAAAATGAAACACAGTTCACATCAAGCCTGTATTTCAAGAGGTACCCAATGCTGGTAACTCCATTGCTATCTTCTCCCTTTGTCTCCCACCCTTCCCTTTCTATATATATATATATGTATATGAACAAGAAAGAGTCACAGAGCTAAGAGATTTGACACAAGTACCAAGCAGTAGGCTATTTCCATTGCTTTCTATGGATACTGACTTTATTAAAAAAAAAAATCCACGTTATTTAGCATTTGTGTAACGTGAATTGTGAAGCATTCATGCATCTAAGAATCACTTCTAGTCTCATTTTAATACCAGAATTGTGCTAAAGGAGATCAGCTAGATACTGAATTACGGTAAAGTCACATCATATACACAGAGCTACAACCTCACATAGCAGAACTGAGTGCACAGACAGCATTTCATTATTTTAGACCAACACAGTTCTCAGAGACAAACATGCAAACAAAATCATGATTGATGAGCCAGTATTTGAGAACCTGGTATAAACAATAGAGGTGAGCAAGTCGCCATCTATATCAATTATGGACTTGTTCAGAGGGTAGAAAAACGAAGAACACTCAAATATAAAATATCAGGTAGGATGTCAGGTTACAAAAGCTGAGATTTGGTAGCAAGCAACTATAAATGCCCACATGAAAACCATTCAGATTAAGTAGCATCTGTCCCTATACAGGTGAGACAGACACACAAGAGTATAAGCTGACTCTCCTCATTGGGCTTTATTTATGAAAAGCTTCACCACTACTGTTGCAGTTCTCAAATTGTGAAGTGAGTTGAAAAATATGAGCTTCAAGTTTACAACAGAATGATATAATCGAATCCAGCTCTGAAAACCACCTGGCAGCAGAGCCTAACTGTGGCATGCTTTTTATGTGTGCTTCACTTGAAATGAAATAGAAAATAAAAAGATTTATGCTCTGTATGGATCAAAAAAATTTTTAAATGACCATGACCAGGACAATTTATTTGTCATCTCAGAGGTCACAAACCTAGGTAGCTATTCATCATCACATCGGGGGTTGTGTCGGGCTGCTCCCTGGGAGGCTGTGTTTTATAAACAAACTGATCGGGATCTGTATAGGAAATGCTGGTCAAAAACAGCAGGCCTGCACACATGCATGGGGCGAAGAGATGGAAGAAAAAACAATTACACTTGGTAAGAGGCACAAGGGCTACTGCCTTTCTCATTGTGGGATGAGGCCAAACCTGCATCTGGCCAACGCCACCTTCTGTGCCAGCTTCCAAAATCTCGAGATCATTTTATTCCTAAAGCCCACTGATGTTTCAAAATGACAGATTCACAGATCGTATGACCATCTGAAATGTAATATGAACTTGATTTTTTTTGTGTGGCATCCACATTAGAGGAAGTCCGTTCTAAAAGTGGCAATAAAAAAATATTCATTATTTTCAACTGTTCCAATAATAAATATTGTTTATTTGATTAGTGGGTACATAAGACCAAAGTCCTGGTTTCTTGACCAGGATCATTAAAAATTAAATACTTCTCATCATAACTAATCCCTAAACGACTCATTTGAAAGAGATTGTCTGTTAAAATATATTTAAATGAATTACTGGTTTGTTGATAAGACTTACCTTGTAATGGATTCTGCTTGAAAAACCATATTTGAGACTGCAAAAGACGGTGGTGTCCCCTTCCTGTCTTGCAAGGCCACTCACACCATTCATACACCTAGCTGCTTCCCACCCAGCTCCAGTCACTCTCATAAGAATTTCTTCCCTTGGCTTTATGAGTTATGTGGCCTTGGACTAGGAAATTAATCTCTCTAGACCAGTCTTTTTCATCGGCATAAAGGAGATAACATACTTATTTTATAATATTGTTGGGAAGATCACATAAGATCTGTAAAACAGTATGTAAGTACTTAACTTACAACACATGGCAGATGCTTAACCCAAAGTACAAATTTTCTCTTCCCTCTTCTATGCTTTCACACAAGTTTTAGGCTTACGGGGAGGGAAGAGTGTCTGAGAAGTTTTTTTAATTGTAGTACTATTATATATTTTTATATATTTATACATGTAAACATTTATATACAGTTAGAATGCCGTATTATAAGAACTTTCTAAGTATATGTTTACTAACACATTGTTTAGTATTATTCACATATGCAGTCATGTATACACACACACAAACACACCTTTTTCATTTTTATCTTCCATTGTTCCAGCATTATCTCTTGCATATGGGTATATCTCTATTTTTTTTAACTAGGTTACTATTTAGGTTTAGAAGATTTTTTACATTTTTTTCCAAGAAATGCACAGTAATTATTCTTTATGTCAACTCATACCAAGAATTAAAGCTTTTAAAAGCCTTTGTGTAATTACCATAATGCACATGAATAATTTAGGACACCCATTAGTAATGCAAACAAGCCTTAGGAGTTAAGGAATTGGCACTTAGACACAATCTGGGTGTCCTCAAAGCTGCTTTAGCAGTTCTGCTCAGCCTCAGTTAGAAAGCCCCTTGCCACCCGCCAGGGGCCCTGTGACATGGGAGCCCCAATCCAGAAGCCCGTGTAGAATGGTAATCACAGAGGAAGGTCCTGGAGGGCTTGACCTGCCTGCCACTTAAGAATAACTTCATAAATGTAGCTCTTAAAAGTATCTCTAGAAAGAAACACTAAAGGGAGAGGGAGGCAGTTCAGTTTACAGCTAACTTTCATGCATTTTTCCACAGCTGCATGTATGGCCTGTTTCAGGTGAAGGAGGCTGACATTATCTCAGAAAACAGGCTTCTGAGCAGGCAGGCAGACAATGGTAGGAGAGAATAAATTCGAGGGAGTCCAGATCAGAAGGAAAGATCCCAAGGACCCGTCAGGTCACCAAGGATCATCAAGACTTAAAAGCCCATTCATGCAGCCACAGGCCCCTGGCTCCACCTGGCCTATTATCGACAGGGAAGTCCAGGCTCCTGTGAGGGCAGCATTACAGAGACATGGGAAAGACAGGCATGACAGCTATGCTCGTTCCTACCTAAGTAACTGTTAGCAGGAACAGGAACTAGACTTTCATCATGGTCAGTCTCTCCACCAACTTCATAAGGCCCATCTTCAAAGATGTTCATGTCAAAAAAAGTATTATTCTTTTGCTCTACACGAACAATCCCTAAAGGAATCAAATGATAAAAACAACCAAAAAAAAAATGAAGATGAAACAAAGTAAAATAGATGGTTCTAATGAACATTCCTCATGCTATTACTAAGTACAGGAAGAAAAGTCTTGAAGAAGAAAAGGCAGAAGAGAGAGATGATTTTGGGGGTTATTAAAGTTAAGAAGCCACGTTCATGTAAAATTTTAAGTCAAAGACATTTGTTCTAGTAATCAAAAAATTCCTCATGCATTTTCATGAATTACCTTTAAAATGCCATGAAACTAGATGGAAAATGGAATGTTTACTTAATGAAACTTTTTTAAAAAATTTTAAATGATATGGACCTGATATATTTTATATTCTCTATAATCCTAAACCAAATTAGCTTCTTTACTATAGGGTAAAAGTGAAATTAATCTTTTCTTCCAATCATTTTCAGATCTTTCAAACACTCCTAATTAGTAACTAATTGAACACAAAATCACTGTATGACTTTTTTAAATAGTAACATTTTAAGTCAGGCTTTATAAAACAATAAAACTTATTTCCCATCCATTAAATACACATAATCAGGGTCTCCCTGGTGGCGCAAGTGGTTAAGATGCAACCTATGAAGCTGTCCGCAGCCTCTGCAGCACGAGTTCAATCCACCCGTCAGCCAGGGAGGAACCCACGTGGTGCAGCAGACCTCTCCTGTCTTGCCCACTCCTCCCCTCAGCAGTGTATGTCAGTCAGTCTGCCTGTTCTGTTCCACTCTGTCTCTGGTGAATCCTCTCACCCCCCCACCTCTGGCCTGTACCCCAGCTTTTATATGCATAAATAAATAACTCTTTAAAAAGATACACATAATCGGTGTTTTTTTTTGTTTTATTAAATATAGCATTCTAGTTTTGCTACACTAAAACTTTGCAAATTCAATGTGCAATTTCAATTAGGTCAAATAACCTATGTTGTGTCAAAATAATTGTTATGTTCAAGATTTGGATGGGAGGTAGAGGAGGCTGAAGAAAATTATTCCAAAAGGTTACTATGGCTGACAGTAGTATGATCTCGAGGATCATTTCTGATGGGAATTAAAACTTAGAAAATTTTTAATAGAAAAGGAAAAATTTTCCTGACTGGTAAAATGTTGTGTAACATAGTATTTAATTCAATTTCTCAAAAAAAAAAAAAAACCTTATGTCCAAATCAGATGCATTTCTTTTCATTGTAGATTAGAGTTGGGTTACCTATCCTTTATAGTACAGTGGTTTTCTATACATGCTTAATTTCTTCTGAAATGCTAAACTTTTATTATGGAAATTGACCAGGTTCATCTAGTCCAAAAAAAGGTAATTTTTCCCCCTCCCTAGGTCCATCCCCTATTACCTATATCACAGTAACAATAAAACAACTTTTCCAGAAGTTATCTGAAATTATCTCAAATTCCCTAATTTGTCATCTGCCCTTCTAACTTTACTGCTTCAACAGAATGTGGCCTTTTAAGAAAGATATACAATAAATATTTACATTTATACACTTACTTGTATTCAGTACCACTCAATTCTTCTCAGTTTTCAAATTACTACCTTAAAATTTAATCCTTCAGCTTCATGAAACAGGCCAATGTAAAGTAGCGAAAACTACTAATATTAACATTTCCTCTAGAAAAAAAAAGCTAACTACTATATCAATGTAAATTACTGGTGGAGGGGGAAAACAATCTCTTACAACACACTTCTATCCTTACTTGTTTTTAAAAATCACAATTTAAGAGATTTTAATATTCCACCCAGCTTCAATAACATACAAGTGCCTTACAACACATTTTGTCTTAACTTGAAACATACTTAACAATTGTACATATAAAGAAATTATATAGTTATTCGAACTTCTATTTCTATAAATATTCACATCATACCTTTCCAGTTATATGTGCCTGGGGCTCCAAACACAATGTAATGAAAGTCTTTAGTAAAAGTAGCAGCTACACCTTGCTGGCAAGAACCAAATTTCTCATGGCCTCTCAACCTGCCATCACAAAAACTCCAGTCTCCTCCATCCATATCATCTTCAATCTTGAGATTCTGACTCAGGACATAACACCGTCCAAAGATGTCCCTGGATTCCTGCTTTGTATTAACATGCTGCCTTTTTTCGTATCGATGAGCACATGTCTGCAAACAAGTAGAATAAAGTAACCCATTCATGTCTACAAACCTTACATTTTTTTACGAATTTATAAAATGATTAATAATAAAGAGGTTAACTCTGCATCCAATAATTAAGCTTGTTCTCATCCTGGCATCTTCTCTAACATGGCACTATCTAGCCATATTAGGAGGCCATTATCTAGCATATAGAAACCTAGGGCTACTGTCTTCTTTTCACCAAGAGAATAATGCTGAGTCCAAACACTACCTGTCAATCTGTAATCCATAGGCACATATTTATCTGTCACATAAACAATGGGGAATACCTTATTCCATTTCCAAATCTAATTTTTTTTAGTGGTTGTATAAATCTTCATATCAGTGTGTTTGTGAAAACAAATATATTCTGGAAGAAATAAATCATGGACATATTTTCACAGGTAAAGCAAGCACAGCTAATGCAAGGACATGTTCCTCTTAGCCATTCTATTTCCTTGTAATCAGTCCTAAATTACATTCTAAACTCAAGATTATATCCCTGAATATGTTTATTTTTAAAGGCAAAAAGACTTATACTGCTGGAAGAGATGAGATGTTCTCTACCATTTCTATTCATGGCTACCCTCCATGTAACACAGGCTGAAATATTTATAATAGCCAAGACAATTGCATAGTTCACCCTTATTTTAATAAAAATTCAATGTTCAATAAAACACTGATTTCTCTCAAATTCTATATAAATTTGTTAGAGCAACCAGATTTTTAAAGAGACACCAAAAAATCATCATATTCCAGCTTAGAAGGCACTTTCAAGGCCATCTAGCACAATCCAGCTAGCAAATTCTCTTTTCTTTGCTACCACTTCTACTTAAAGCGGTTCGGGAAAAAGAATTTAAAATGATCTGATTAAAAAAAAAGAAAAAAAAAGATCTGATTTTACGTTCCATGACCATATCCATATTTCCCATAACTCAGCTATGAAAGCTATACAGTTCTTCAGACAGAAACCATGTCTAGTTTTAGTGTTGCTTTCTCAAGGCTAGACTTGTAGTGATAGTCAATGTTTATTAATAAGTTATTTAAGTCTGAGTTCTACAAAAAAGCAGGTTGTATGATTGAAATTATATCAGGAATCACAGGAAAAATAATGCTTTGATTTCTTCTTGACATCAATTCCAGCTTTAAACTTCTTGACATCAATTCCAGTAGGTTTGCTAGACTGTATACTCCATGCAGGCAGGGCCTCTGCCTTCTTTGTCATCGCTGTAAGTCTGGTGCACATAAGAAGCACCAAGCACTGCGCAATCATCATTTCTCTATACTTACCACAACTTTGCCCCCTGGACCCTGACTCTGGACAGTGACCCCCATCCATTGATCTTCCTTGCTTTCGGATAAAGGGTCAGCTGTGGAGAGAAGCACAGGTAACACAGTTAAAACTTCAGTGACTGATACAGATTATGAACTAATAGATGCACAAAAATCATTCCAAATTGCCTTGACCCCAAGTTTGGCTGCTCAGTAAATTTCTTATCCTAAGAAAATAGGTATGTGACTATTGGTAAGACTCTTTCATAAAATTCTTTATATAAAACACAAAGTCTACCTGCAGATTTGCTCTGATACCCAGGGTCCGGAGGACAGAGGCATTTGAAAATTGTAAGACTAAAGTGTAGCCTTCTAGTATATTCCTTTTATAGTAACTACGTAAAGTAACCAACTACCATCCAAGCTAATAAAGTGGGCATATACATATACACACACATACATACACACACACTCCCAAATTATTTATATAACAGCAAGAACTGTTCTTTCCTTTACTAATATGGGAAACAAGGGCCTCCTATTCACTTTAAGTCTCACAACTGGCAAGTTATACCTACCAATGCCAGAAAGAATGTGCTGTATCCATTTTACCCTCTTTGTCTCCCCTCCCCCAAACAGAAACTACAAATACTAGCATCTGCTTACTTCAGTATCAGTTCAAACCCCTATATGACCCTAGATCCAAATTTTTGCCTTCTACAGTGGGAAGCAAAGCAGCATAGGATGTATCCCAATGTGATTTAGAATTTCAATCTTGAGTCATTTAAAATATGAAAAAATAGGGCCTCCCCTGGTGGCGCAGCGGTTGAGCACTGGGCTGTAAGGCTGCCCACAGCCTCTGCAGCTCCTGTTCATTCCCCAGCTGCCGGCGAGGGTCCCACAAAAAAAAAAAAAAAGAAAAAAGAAAAAAATAAAGAACTTTAAGCAGAAGAAAAAAATAACAAAATGCTAAGTAAAGGGTGATTATGTCTAGATTACCATGGGTTTTGTTTTTTTTTTCTTTATAGGTCTATGTGGTTAACAAGTTTCCTATAATTAGCACATGCTATTTTCTGATCAGTAAAAAATTGAAAGCAAGTGTTATTTCTGAAAGATGGAAAAGATAAGAATATCAACATGAATCGCAACTCTGCTTAGACCAAGCAAGCCCAATTAGGTCTGGTTGCTCAGTAATTGCTGTACCCAATATACCACGTTCTCACCAAAAAAGCCTGTTTCTGAGACATTAAGGCAAGTTTAATCCATGTGGCCAGCTCTTATTTCAGAGAGATCTGATATTTAAAAGAGACTTTCAGCCAAATATTTTAACAGCAAGTTAAGACATTTTGCTTCCTGAGTATAAAATATACATTTTCAATTTTCTCTGAGGGCTAAATTCAGGTTTTCTACAACTTCCTGTAGAACCTCAACATGTCACTAGGTGGCAGCATCAACTCACCATATCAGTTTAGAAACCACAAGTAGGAGAGGCAAGAGGATGCATCCCAATGTGATTTACAAAGCAAGTTTTCAGAGCCAACCAAAAACCAGTTAAAACGGATGGAATTAAAAGCGGCCCTCTCTCCAAGAATAAATGTTTCTATGCCCTTTCCTTCCTCATGCTAAGGGCAAGAGGAGTACTGACGAGCTGGTGAAGAGAACGCAACGAATGCAAAGGAACGCACCATCGTTATCAAATTCGATCCTCGTGCATGGCCCCCGGGAGGTGATATCACAGCTGTACAAGCCTCCCGTTCTGTTGGCCCTCTGCAGTGGAAGGGCGACTGCCCGGGGCGCCCCCACGAGTAACCTGTTGGCAAAACAGAAAATTTGGAGATTTGAGTTTAATATATACTTAACATTTCCATTTGGTTAGAACCAAGAGATCCCAGTATTATTTTTTGCCAGGGAGTCCACTCGCCCCACTTAGGTGGGAAGGTAGAGTTCTGTGATCGGCTTATGCAACACACACAACTACACAAGCAGGCACAAGAGCAGTACTGAAAGCAATTGCCATTGCTCATTGTATCAGCAGCCCTCTACTGAACCTGATCTTGGGGTTTAAGGGACACACTCTTTTTAAAGTGAAGGACAAAAGTAAACCAAAAGAAACCCTTAAAATCTGACGGCAGAATTGAGACCACTATGGGAGTCAAAGAGCCCAAAGGCCTATGGTGGAAGATTATGGGGGCACTTGAGTGTACTATCCCACCAACACACCAATAACCCTAAAACATACACAGTGTTGGAAACCAATGTAATGCAATAAAAGAATCACAATTTTTTAAAAAGACACTTTTCATAGAACATGACCCCTAAGCCTAAGCCAAGGTCATCACATGTAACTCAACAGGCAGAACAACACACATTGCCACACTAGAGTGGAGAAGGGGGTCACATGATATTGATCAAGTGATCAACATCTAACACTATGACTTCCTGAGGTTTTTATCAAGGGTACTTTGATAGTTCAAGGGTAGAGAGATTAACGGTTTATATACTATTAAATTAATTGAACTAGTAAGCCATCAGACTGAGATGCCTCTGCAGCTGCCTGGTTAAGATGTAGGCAAACCAAACTCTAACCTGTAAATACCTGAAGGTTACAAAATTAAACCCTAAAGACAACCAGTCACAACCAACGAGGCCTTAAGCTATAGCCAATCAAGTAATTTCTTTTCTTTGCACATTTTCCCCAGCTCCAGTCCACATAGCACTTCTAGTCTAGTATTGCCAGATTCAAATCATCTGTGTTCAAATAAATTCCTAAGATTTTTTTTTAATAGAGGCATGTTTTATTTATTTATTTGTTTGTTTGTTTTGTTTATACATGCACTGGGTACAGTCAGAAGCACGGAAGGGTGAGAGAATTCACCAGAGCCAGAGCAGGGAGCAGAGCAGGCAGAAGGACCGAAGTACACTGCTGAGGGATGCAGCAGGCGGCAGGAGAGGTCTGTGTGCCATGTGGGACCCTCCTGTGGTGGCTAGGAAGCAGCCGGGGATCGAACCGGCGCCGCAGAGGCCACGGGCAGCTTCGCAACCCAACGCTCAACCGCTGCGCCACCGGGGAGGCCCTCCTAAGATTTTTTTTTTAATGCCTCAGTTTATTTTTTCACTCTAGTGATTTTGAACCTAATCTTTGCCCAAGGGAACTCAGCTAACTGTTATCTTTTGCAGCTTCAGCCTCTTTCCCAATATCAATTCTTACCTCTGGACACTCCTGTCATCTCCAACACGCTCCTCCACTATCCCCCAACCAGTCTCACCTAAAGGATTCACGAAGGGTCTGTATAGTGCCCCTTATGTACGAGGCATTATAAATATTTCTGCTTCCCACCCATTATTCCCAATATTCTTGTTACAGTATGTAAGACGAACCTTATCCAAACCCATGATCCTCAACGTTTCTCACCCAAAAAGGATCTTAGGGACTTGTTACCTTTCTGCCAATGATCTTTACTCACCATCAGTTTTATAATCTCTAGAGTCTGTTCACTGACATAACGAGGAAAAGAAACAAAATGGACCTGCCCTGGCAGACCCAGAGAAACCAGGCAAGAACTGGGAAAAAACACTAGGTATAAGACTGTCAGCAGATAACTCCACAAACTGAAAACAAGCCACTGCTGGCCTTGAAGAAATCCACAAATCCTCAGATAGAAAAGCAAAAACAAACAAAAGAAAAACCCACAGACAAAACAGTCCCTTCCACCTGTCTCTGATATGATCCCAATAAAGAATTTAGCACATTTTCTTTACTTTAATTTTTTAAACGTATTGTTTTTTTAAAGATTTATTTATTTATACAAGAGCTGTGGTACAGGTCAGAGGTGCAGGAGGGTGAGAGGATTCACCGGAGACAGAGCGGGGAGAAGAACAGACAGACCAGAAACACTGCTGAGGGGAGCAGCAGGTGAGACAGGAGGGGTCTGCTGCACCATGTGGGAATCTCCCTGGCTGGCCGGTAATCAAACCCATGCTGCAGAGGCGGTGGACAGCTTCACAGTGCTGCGCTCAACCCGCTGTGCCACTGGGGAGGTCCCAGCACATTTTTTAAACCAGTGCAACCCAGCAAATGCACAGAGAAACAAAAATACACTCAGAAAACAGAAAAGGGAGTCAAATTCTGTTCAGGGTGAACAGAACAGAACAATTGTGCCGGTGACACAAGGTGCCACAGAATGGTGGGAGAACACTGTCCTTGCACTGTGATTCCCCCCAGGCTCCTGGACGGTGGCTCAGTCAACTTCCACTTCCAATACTGCCCACATTTGAAGCACACACCCAGGTACATAACTTGGATGGGGACTAAACAGGATGCAGGCAGGGTCCTTGGTGCCTCAAACTCCTGGGCAGAAGACAAACACAAGGTCAAGGGCACCAGGATCACAGGACCAGCCCACACCTATCGCAATTATTTGTCCCTGATCCCAGGGCCTGGCACAAGTATCTGAGAGGTCAACTAGTCTGAGTGAAGAAATTCAATGACCTGGCAGATTCAGGGACGGAACCCTGTCCCAGGTGCTGGAGGGAGAAGCAAGGTGCAGGGGCAGAATCCACAGGAAACACCCAAGTTCATCAAGCCTTTCACGTTCACACATGAGGCAACAGAGGCCTGGGTAGGAGGGTAATTCCTCTGCCCCTAAAATCTCACAGCTAGTTAGCAGCCAGGACAAAGGATACCTTGGAGCAAGGTTCTGTACATGCCTTTAAAATGCTGCCTAGGAAATAAACCTGGGGATTTTAAGGCGTTTACAAGCTAACTGAAAGGGCAAAACCCTACACAAATGAAACATTGAAACAAGAATTGCTCTAATGGATCTAATGGTGGAAGGAAAGGTTGAGGAAAGGTGGAGTCACAGAATTATTGCAATGGGTGGAGTGAAGGGAGAAGAGAGTTCCAGTAACCAACTTGGGGTGGGGGGCGCAAAGAGGGCCCTAATGAGCAGCCCTGGAGTTCCAAGGTTATTACTGTGTCTGCTCTAACCACTTCCTCCCCTAGTTCACACCCAAGGAGGCCGGTGTGTTGCTACTCAAGGCAGGTATTTGTTATTTCCTGTTTACTATCTCACCCATTCACTCATTTCACAACATTCAAGAGACTCCTAGGAAGAACATGAATTGCCTGTCCCCTTTCCACAAACTCTGGCCCCCCAGGGACATGGGAGGCAGGGAGGACAGCTCCCTAAGCCGGTCTCTAACCACAGGAGGTAGAGGTAGAGAGGGCAGGACCGAGTACTGTCCAGAGGAGGGCGCCATAACCTGCCCGGAAGAAGAGGGACCCCAAGAGAGGCAGTGGCGCTGGAGGTGGCCAGGTGAGGGTGGCCGGCATGGACACAGGCTCAAGGGGAAGCGACCAGAGGAAATGGAAGAGTGGGAATCAGGATGCAAAAAGACAGGGTCGGCGATGTCTTCGGGTTCCACTCCTGGCTGGAGCGGGAGATGTGTACCTGCTGAGCCACTGGGACAGCCACTGGGAGCTACTGGGAGATGTGTACAAACACCCCCACCCTCCCCCCATGCTTCCGCTACCTGTTGTGCCCCCAGAGGACCGGTGCTTCCTGTTGTTTAAAAAGCTGCTAATATTGTTCCATTTACACGGACGTTCCTACAGAACGGCCCCTTCCTCCAGCCTCTTTCTCCTGGCTGTGCGGTAGGGTCTCTCCTTCCTGTCATTTCCATCTCCCACTTATTCCCTTTCCCCTTAAAGGGTAGCTCCTTCAACATGCTGTGACATACTTAGTATATAACTGCAGTTTGCTGGCTGGTGTTAAGGGCTATGGCAACAAAATTTCGCATGTGTTAAACATGCCAAGCTCTTGCAGAAGTCCTCCTGTTTTACTTGTGGCGGTTACTCAGATGAAGCTGACCATACAGTAGGATGGAAGCAGCAGGAAGGTTGGGGAGGGGGGTGTGGCAGTGGATTCAACACATAGGAAGAAAGAACACTGCCAAGTCAGAAAAGTGCATCTCTGGAGAATCTTAGCTGCCACCTGCCTTCCTGTGGGCCCCACCCATAATGTTTCTAATACTGTCCTTCCCAGGTCCCTGAAGAGTGGGCACAGGAAGCCCACTTCGGAATCTGTCCTATTTCGAAGGGAATCAGGGGTGCTCTGTAACCCTTGGCAGATCTCTGCAGTCTATTCCCTAAACCACAGAAGGAAATCAGACATGGAAAGGGGGGCACCTCTGCTTCAGCTGCACCCCATTCCCTGAGACCACACCTATAGGAAATCATGGAGATAATGGGGAGGGGCATGCAGAGTTAAGTTGGTAGATTCAAGTCATAGAAAAATAAGGAAGCACCTTGGCAGATAACATGGTAACCCAAATCAAATTCAACAATCGGCAGGTATCTTAATCCTCAAGGTAAAGCTGCCCTCTCCGGTTCAGGAAATAAACTCTCTGAATTCTGCCTGGAACCAGCAGTAATCATAGGTGGTCACAGCCTATTAGCTGAGGCTATGTCTGGCAGGAACAAATAATTGAAAATAGAGCTTCCTCCAGTCACAGCCAGTGTCCCTGGTACAACCCACTACTACCTAATCTAAGTCCTTTAGGCCCTGGCACTGGTCTAAGCCATTCTGAGGGCAACTAGCTTCTAAGCCAGCAGAGTAGATGGCGCTTTAAGAGGGCATCTGCATCTAGAGGAATCTCCCATCACCCCCAAATCAGGGTCTGCTAGAATCCCAGCTTGTCCCCTTTACCCATAATGTCCACTGATGCTGCATTCTCTGTGAGCTGCAGGACCTCTGGGCACTGCAAGTTCTAGTATCGAGGCAGCAGCAGTCAGGTTGTTCAGTTCAAAAG